TGACTGGTTTCTTAACTACCAAAGCACACTTTTTTTTTTTTTAATTTACACTTTCTTATATATCCTACCATCTCAGGATACCTGGCTCCTGACAAGGTTGACAGTAAATTCTTTGACCCAAAATTTGCCTTCAAGGAGGTTGAAGTTCAGGCCAAGACAGTTACTGAATTAGTGACTAAGAAGAAACCAAAGGTGTGTTGAGTAATGTGGTCACTCTCAGGTCCTGGATCTCTGGGGAGTAAGGGCCTGGTGGGTCCACTAGACATCACATAAGGGACCACTCAACCTTATTTCCCTCCCTAAGGCTGAAGGCTATGCTGAGGGTGACCTCACTCTCTATCATCGTACCTCAGTCACTGACTTCCTCCGAGCTGCCAATCCTGTTGACTTCCTCTCCAAAGCCAGTGAAGTGAGTCCCAGGTTTGGGGGAATGGGAAGGGAACCCCGGAAACATGGCCTGAATGTTTCCCAAATCCTCTCCCTTCTTCCAAACAGATTGCACTAGATGATGAAGAGTTGGCACAGCATCCAGCTACCACTGAGGACATACGGGTGTGCTGTCAGGATATTAAAGTGCTGGGGCGCAAGGAGCTTAGGTATGAAGTGAGGGTGATGTAAGTGCCAGAGGCAGGGAAAGGCCTTTGAAAGCCACGATGTTGATCTCGGAGCATAATGCTGTTTTGCTAGAGGTTCTGGCTGGGGACCTGAGCCCTAGGATTTGTGACTCAAATAGGAAATTTGGGATGTAGGTCTATGACAGAGGAGGAAGCAAGGACAAAGGGAGGTGGTAAGGTCTGTAATGGTATTTCTGGGACAGATCCCTACTGAACTGGAGAACAAAGCTCCGGCGATATGTGGCCAAGAAGCTGAAAGAGCAAGCAAAGGCGTTGGACATCAGGTGAGGAGGAAGCTAAAGCACAGATGTTGACTGGGTGTTGGGGGGGGGGGGGGGCTGTGTCTAGAAAATAATCAAACTCCTTGGTCTGTTCTGTCAGCCTCAGCTCAGGAGAGGAGGAGGAAGGTGATGAAGAGGACTCAACAGCTGGGACTCCGAGGCAGCTCTCTAAGGAGGAGGAAGAGGAGGAACAGTTGAATCGGACCCTGGCAGAGATGAAGGCCCAGGAGGTAGCAGAATTAAAGAGGTAAGGAGAGCACGAAGTTTGGGGAAGTGTCCCCCTATCCCCCCACAGAGTTTCTGTGTGTGTGGGATGGAGGAAGACAGAGAGGAAATGGTTGAGCAATTTTCAGGGCCGGGCTGGTATAATTCCTCAAACTGTCCCCTCAGGAAGAAAAAGAAGCTGCTTCGAGAGCAGAGGAAGCAGCGGGAGCGTGTGGAGCTGAAGATGGATCTTCCCGGGGTTTCCATTGCAGACGAGGGGGAGACTGGCATGTTCTCCCTGCGCACCATCCGGGGTCACCAGGTGAGGCGGGGCTGGAACAGTGTGAGGACCAGAGGATCTGTTTGTGTTTGGAAGGGGGTCGGGGATTAAACATTTTCTTAGTGTGCTGCATGATCACTGCTCATGGCTGCTGTGTCCACCCATAAATGTGACTCGGTGAAGGGTGACTGGGAAAAAAACACGAGCCTTGCGTCTCAAAGGCCAGGAAGAAACATAAACCTAACACGAAATTAGGAAGATGTGTGAATACTATAAGAACATTGCACATGTGTATGTATCATATAATACGTAAAAATAGGAGAACCAAGGGGCACTCTTTGCAAGAAGCCATTTCTGTAGACGCAGCCAGGTAACTGGGTGACAGGCTGGTGATGGAGGCCTTCTCTCGGGAGCAGCGCTCCTCAATTCACTGAGACCAAGGTGGCCTCTGCGCACGCTGGATGGGGAGTACAGGGAATGTGACTTGTAAATAAGAGCAGTGTCAGGCAATTCGTGGCTTTTGTGTGGGAATGGGAACCAGGTCTTGGTTGTACAGGACGGTGTAGTGGTTCTGGAGCAGACCACCACTATCCATGTTTTGCCTCAGTTCCCTCATCTGTAAAAGAGAATAATATAATCTATCTATTATACTAGGGCTGGAGGGATGAGTAAAACATGTTACGTGGGCTCCTTTATTCAGTGGAAACAAAATTCGTAGATTATATTCTCAGAAGGTGCTGTGGTATCTTTTTTTTGAGGAAATATTTTTAAAGAAAAATTAATGTGTTAGAATATTTTAAAATTTGATGCTATATAGGGTACGGGTATTTTTCCATAAACCTATTTCTGCTACCATTGAAGATGAGACTGCTGAGTGGAACAGGTGAGTGATGTGGTCTAGAATGGGATGGTCTGGCAGCACCATCACTTTCCTGTCTGTAAAAGGAGATAATGTGTTTGCTGAAGCTAAGATAATGGACACAGAAGAAAGTAGTATGTTCAAGTACCCTCGATCTCTGTTTCTCTGTCAAATTTTAGTTGTTAGAGGAGGTAACACAAGGGGATATGAGTGCTGCAGACATGTTTCTGTCCGATCTGCCAAGAGATGACATCTATGTGTCAGATGGTGAGGAGGAGGAGGATGATGATGCATCTCTGGATAGTGACCTGGATCCAGAAGAGCTGGCAGGAGTCAGAGATCCTCGGAGTCTAAAGGACCAAAAGTGGTAAGGGGGGCTGGTCTGCAGGTTATGCCAAAGGCACTGGGGGGGGGGGTAGGGAGGGTTCTCCAGGGCACTGGCCCGCTAACCCACTTCCCTTGGGGCTACAGTGTACGGTTTGCTAAAGCAGAAGACGATAAAGGGGAGGAGGATGACGAAGAGAACCCATTGCTGGTGCCTTTGGAGGAAAAGGGGGTCCTGCAGGAAGAACAAGCCAGCCTGTGGTTCTCGAAGGTAAGAGGGAGCCAGGGGGTCGAGACTCAGGGAATTGGCATTCCCCGCTGAAGGATACCTAAAGGACTTCCCCTGTCATAGGATGGCTTCAGTGGGATTGAGGATGATGCTGATGAGGCTCTGGAGATCAGCCAGGCCCAGCTGTTGTATGAGAGCCGCCGGAAGGGGCAGCCGCAGCAGCAACCACCACCACCACCACCACCACCACCTTCTAGTTTGAAGACAGAGAGAAAACCTTCCCAGTGCCCAGATGAGGCCCTTAAGGCGACAGAGGCTCCACCAGGGACAGAGGCTGCCGCTGGCCCCGGGGGTGGGGAGAAGGATGACAGCTCCGACAGTGACAGCAGCAGCAGCGAGGATGAAGAGAGGTGAGTGATTGCAGCTGATGGGGGAAGGGATATGAGGAAGAGTGTTAACCATTTCTCTAAGTTGGGTGTTTTCAACCTTGCCTGCAGATCGAGAGCTTTAAAAACACTTATTCCGATTTAACTGGTATGGCCATGCCATGGTAGGATCTCACTGCAGCCTTAAATAGGAACTGGGTTGAAGTGGGTCTGAGTGATGGTGGACACATGGTGGTTCTCTCCTGCAGCTGGGAACCACGCCGCGGGAAGAAGCGAAGCCGTGGGCCTAAGTCAGAGGAAGATGGGTTTGAGGTGGTGCCTATCGAGGACCCAGGTGAGGGAGTGGGTCTGCCCCCAGCGGGCTGGGAGGAGACCGTGGATGTTTGGGAACTGAGCTTGGACTTTTCTCTTCCCCTTCTAGTGAAACATCGGATACTGGACCCTGAAGGCCTTGCTTTAGGTGCTATTATCGCATCTTCCAAAAAGGCCAAGAGAGACCTCATAGATAATTCCTTCAGCCGGTAAGGGGAGGAAAATCACGAGGAGCCGTCCAGTTTGTGTGTGTGTGTGTGTGTGTGTGTGTGTGTGTGTGTGGCAGGAGAGGGCAAGTGGTTTCCTCTCCACAAAGCACGGAGTGGTCGAAAGGGCTGTCCTCCACCTAGGTATGCATTTAATGAGGACGAAGGGGAGCTCCCAGAGTGGTTTGTGCAGGAGGAGAAGCAGCACAGGGTACGGCAATTGCCTATTGACAAGAAGGACGTGGAGCATTATCGGAAACGGTGGCGAGAAATCAACGCACGTCCCATCAAAAAAGTGGCTGAAGCTAAAGCCAGAAAGAAACGCAGGGTAAGTATTGGGGCTGCCCAAGATGAGGGGGGAGTTGGGACAGGGATGGGGCAGAGATTAACCTGACAGAGCCTCACAGATGCTGAAGAAGCTGGAACAAACCAAGAAGAAAGCAGAAGCTGTGGTGAACACGGTGGACATCTCAGAACGAGAGAAAGTGGCGCAGCTTCGAAGGTGATTGGGGGAGGTCACCCACAGATACTTGGGGGTTAAAAAGGATCAGAAAGCCAACTGTTTTCTTTCATTTATAGTCTCTACAAGAAGGCTGGGCTTGGCAAGGAGAAACGCCAGGTCACCTATGTCGTAGCCAAAAAAGGTGTGGGCCGCAAAGTGCGCCGGCCAGCTGGAGTCAGAGGTCATTTCAAAGTGGTGGACTCAAGGATGAAGAAGGACCAAAGAGCACAGCAACGGAAGGAGCAGCAGAAGAAAAACAGGCGGAAGTAAGCAGAGCCACCAGGGCCTCTGAGAAAGCAGTGTATGGAGGAGCGGTTCTGCAGTTCACGCCAGCCTCCCCGTTACCAGCTGCACCTGTTTGCATCACAGTCATCTGAAAAGACAGTGAGGTGTGGGGTACCTACAACTCACGGTGGTCTGAGTGATGAGGACATCTGCCTCTTGTTAAAGCACAGCTGAAGGACCCTGTGGGACTTCACACCCTTCCATGAAGAAGACAGGGCACTTTTTTAAATTATAAGGGGAACTTGAGTATTGAGGTGGCATTCACTCTAGCCTGTCTTCTGGGCCTCTCAGCTCTCCCCGGCCCCTTCTATTGCCATTTAAATAAAACCATGATTATAGATGTCTTTTTGTCCAGTTCCCATTAAGTGCTAACTTTGGTGCTGCATTGTTCTAAATCCGATTGTTCTGACTCCTGAGGTAGAAATGACAGACAATCCACAGGTCCCAGTAGTAAAACATTTACTAGAGCAAGCAGAAAAGAATGCACATCTTAAAGAAACCTTCACAAAGTCACAAAATTTGAAGTATGTATATTTCCTTTATAAACAACATAAAACAAAAAGTCATCAAAATCATTTCAGCAAAAGATTTTTCTACCATTGTGGTAAGTTAAAAAAAAAACAAACCCAACACAATGAAATAGGGGGAAGACAGTTAAAAGCTGTTGGGGTTTTAAATTTAGCAACACTTCAGACCTGGAGCAATCCTGTTTTTAGGATTATTTTCTCACCTCGTAATAGTAGTGGCTCTGGGCTTCCACTGCAGGGCTGGAAACAAACCTGAGCATCAATTCCACTTGGAATCAGACACCTCCCTTCCCTGCAAATGTATTGGAAGCCCCAAAGTGCTTCCCAAACATCCCTAACAGGGCCCGCCTGGGCACATGGCTAAGAAAAAGGTTTTAACTTATAGATGTTTATAAGCTGACAGTAAAAAATACACGCTACATATGATATAAACCTAGTTTTATATCCTGTAAGGCCCTCACAACAAACCCAGAGCCAAAAGACGCTTCCCAGCTCTCACTGCTTATGATCAAAGCAGCCCCCCAAAATCCAAAAAACGATCCAGATGGAGTCATGTCTCCAAGTGCCAGCTACCCACTAAGGGTAGGGGGTCCTTACACCTTGGGCCCCACCCCAACCCAGCCCTGAGACACGTAATTACCAAAAATCTTTCTAAAAATAACAAAGGATTTCACACTTTAGCACATACCATCTAACTGTCCCATCGACTTTTCTTGCGCTTGGGTGGCTCGGGGACAGCAAAACCATCAGCTGTCTTATCTGTCTTGCTGTCCATCTTATCCATCTTACTGCTATCCACCACCTTGGGGTCCATCTTGCTCTCACGATTACAACCTTCTTTCCTGCTTTCACCATTCCGGCCATCATTTGCACTTCGACCTTCATTTGCCCCTCGACCATCGTTTGCACCTCGACCTTCATTTCCACCTCGACCTTCATTTCCACCTCGACCATCATTTCCACCTCGGCTCTCTCCATGTCGGCCTCCACCTCCTCCATGTCTGTTCTCCCCATGACGATGGCTATCAGTATGACGGCTGCTGCTTTCTGGATAGCGGTATCCATCTCCATGGCGACCACCATCTCCATGACGTGGGCTATCACCGTGCCGATTGCCACTCTCTCCATGGCTGTGACGGCTACCACCCCGGTTCTCAGTATATCTCTCTCTCTTCCCATTGCTACCCCCAATCCCTTCTCGGCTGTTATTCCCTGAAGCTGTGTTGTTGACTCCCTGGGCTCCGGGAGTGGGGTAGGTCACTGGGGCACTGCTGAGGTTCCCAGGATTGCCAAAGCCTGGGACGCTCTTGGTGGCACTAGCAGGGGGGCTGTCAGGACTGTTAAGACCCTGCTGGGCTGAATTAGATGGTACAGAATTCAAGCTCCCTGCACTTGTCCATCCACTTGCCCCAGCAGCAGAACTTCCAGCTTTCTGGTTGCTTAAGCTGGCAGCAACAAAGTGACTCTTGTACTGTGACTGAGAGAGAAAGAGAACGAAAATAGTTATGATGGTAAGTTCAAGAAACTAATATATAATAAGCGTGGCAATGATATATAGGAACTAGGGTGTTCACACAAGAGTATCCATTCTATCTTGGCCCTGTGACTTTAGCATCCTGATGGCCTCACAATCCTGTGGCTTCTGTGCGTATTAGTCTGGAGATGGATAAAATATGTAAATTAAGGCCAGCTAACCGGAGCTTGTGTACAAAATGGGAAGCAGTGAGAGGTCCTAAATCCAGTATTGAGCACACAAACGGAGCTACACTAGCCCCCCATCATTGCCCAAGAATGACTGCTCTTTTACCTAAATGCTGATCTCCTACCTGGAAAGCCGCTTTCATTGCCGTCAGCCGATCTCCCATGGCTCCTGTGGAGGGCTTGTAGGCCTCATAGTTGCTCATTACATTGTTGTTATTTCCTCGATCCTAAAAAATAAGCACACCTTAAGAATGGACTCAAGTAGGAAAGCCCCTGCTATAGACTAGGCCTCAACATATTGAAAACGAGTGGGAAAGGGAACAGAATTTTTTTTAGGAAGTTATGCTTTGTGAGAAAAGGTGTGGTAATGAATAATTTAAAAACTTAATGCCTGCCGAAACCGGTTTAGCTCAGTGGATAGAGCATCAGTCTGCAGACTGAAAGGTTCCAGGTTCGTTTCTGGTCAAGGGCATGTACATTGGTGGCGGGCACATCCCCGGTAGGGGGTGTGCAGGAGGCAGCTGGTCGATATCTCTCTCTCATCGATGTTTCTGGCTTTCTATTCTTCTCTGTTCCTCTCTGTAGAAAGTCAATAAAATATATCATTTAAAAAAGAGCATGATCCTCAAGCATTTGGTGCCATTTGTACTTTCCACATACAGATATATAGAATGTCTCTAAAAATGCAAAAGGAACTTAAAAAAAAAACACCCAATAATAAAAATAAAAACTCAATGCCTTTCAACCCAGTATTTCTATTTCTGGAAATTAATCCTAAATAATCAGAAATGAGATCAGATTATGCCCAAAGCTGACTATGTGGCATTATTTATATACAAACATGAACATGTTTATGTAATTATGTAAAAATTATATAGAAAGGCTACAAGGCAATATGCACATTCTTTGAATCCAGACCCTTGAGTCTGAAACTTAGCTTTGTCACCAGTGTGTAACCTTGGGTGCCTCTGTCTTTTATCTGTACTCTCTCTTGGTAAGTGACTGAGAAGACTGAGTTAATATGTGTGCCTGCTTGGAATGGACCTGGCATGTAGTAAGTGCTCAGTATTAGCTAACATTCTTATCCATATCATCATCATGCCTGTAATGTGGTAACAGATTACTTATCAAAGATACCATGTGAACTATAATGATCCAGAAATGTAGACTTGGCTTAGGAATTAGAGTAACAGGAAATAGGCAGTTAAGACAGCAAATCAGGGAGAGCTTTTGTTACCTGATTTTTGAGAAAAGTGCTCTCTCCTCTCTCTGATGAAATTTCCCAGAGAATGTAGCAATCATTCCTAAGTTTAGTTACAAGACACAACTAGAATCTACACAGTGACCTTGTGGCAATGTCTAGCAGCAGGCTCGATTTAGGCCGTTAGGAAAACAGACCGTGGGGTCCCACATCCAGAGTTTCTGATTCACCAGGTTTGCGGTGCGGCATGAGTCTCCATTTACTGCTGGTCCAGGAACCACCACTAACCTAGACTGATTTCCTGAGCACATCAAGGTCCTTCTTCAATAGAAGTCACAACATTAAGAACCAGCATTAACACAGAGGTAAGCCAGCAAATTAAAGACAGGCTTCCTTCCAGACAGAGTTCTGAACTCTCTGAGGTTTTCTCAGGCAGAGGGAATAGTCCTACCGTTACTCAGGACCAGCCTTAACACGTTAAGTGCCCAACCTGTTTTGCCTTCCGGACACAAAGTATAGTGTCAGTCCCCGGTGACTGACAGGGCACTACTGTAGAATGGACTCACCGTGTTCTCAGAGCCTAGCCCAGGCCGCTCCCTGTAGCCCAGGCCTCCTCCACCGATGTTCAGCTTTTTGCCTTTCCCTCCTTTGAAGCGGGACTTCCGAAACCAGGCATTCTGCATTGAACACAATTTAAGGTTAAGCCAGGATAGGGAGAAGGGAGGGGCCAGAGAAAGGATAAGATGGAAGAGGAAACTAAGTGGAAGGGAAGACTTTTTGCTTATCTTTAGCCCAGAACCACAGATTCACTTCCTTTAGGTAGTTTAATCCACCCATTTGTCAGGAGGCTCAGATCCTTATCGAAGGCTTCCTTTATTGCTTCTTTTCCAAGAAGGGAAGTGACTGATTACACTGGCCACTTCTAACTTCCTTGAGGAAAGTGATTTTTTTTTTCTATTTTTCAATCTATACATACCACTGGACATAAAAATTCAGAGCTTTTAAAGTATTACTGGGTTTAGAAGTAGGGGAAAAAAAAAACCCTGTGAAGTGAGGTTTATTAGAATTCACTCTAGGCCAGACTGGTAGTCACATAAAAAAATAAAATTTTATTTACCCATAAGACCTTAAAGTTTTCACTGAACTTAATCACTGCCAGAATACTACTAATCAGATTTATTCACATTTTCTTCAGAATGCAAACATCTCTGGGAGGTTAGAGCTTTGGCTGACATGCCAAAGTTCTCGAGAGGCAGGGCAAGCTTGGCAAAGGTGAGAGAAGCTGATCAGTCTGAGAGCACAGGAAGCCTGAGGCATGAAAAGAGATGTATCTTGTTCAAACCTTCAGTTTAGGATTGGCTCTCTACACCCAGGAAAGGGGAGGAAGCTACTCTCAAGACCACACGACAACTGCATTATGGGTAAAAAAGCTATTAGGCCGGCCTATCTGAAAAACATGTAAGTCTCTGCTAACAGAATATGTATTCTGAACACATTTGTAAGTTGGGGACTGCATGTATTAACACAGTTTAAGATTTAATTCGGTAGGATGGTTCACTTAATTTTGGACTGGTAATCAGTGTGGTCTAAAATCTGAGATCTATGATAAGTCTATGAGGAATAGTTCAATACATAATTTTTTAAGACATCACACATTTTTAGTCCCCAAAAGAGAAGACAGTTTGGGAGGAATAGAAGCCATCTTTGAAATTACACTTTCATAGATGCTGCTGAAAGGAGAGGATGAGAAGATAACCAGATGAATTTTAATGCCCTTACAAAACTAATCAGTACCTCTAAGCACTATTCTCCTCACCCCCACTCCTTTCTTGACATGTTTCTAGGTTATCTGTATCATGCTTGTTGGAATTTGATCACCTATGATAGTTTATAGTTTTACAACTTGGAGCAACCCCAGTATTTCTATTTCTGGAAATTAGATCAGAAGTGTGTTGCAGCCCCTCACCTGCATTGCCAGATCTAGGAGTTCCTTGGAAACATGTTGATTGGCTCCTTCCAAGTTCCGGACAAGATCACCAGCAAAATTGCTGTCCTTGGGGGTTAGCAAGGTATAGGCCACACCCTTCTCACCCGCTCGTCCGGTGCGGCCAATCCTGTGAGTATGGGTATCAATGTCTCGAGCCACATCATAGTTGATGACAGTCTTAATTGAAGGAATGTCCAGACCACGGGCTGAAATAATAAACCAAATTCTTTTATTCTTCATCAGGAATCAAAAACCAAAGTAACCCTGCCCTAGCTGGTTTGGCACAGTGGATAGAGCACTGGCCTGCAGACTGAAGAGTCCTGGTTCGATTCCGGTCAAAGGCACATGCCTAGTTGCGGGCTGGATCCCTAGTAGGGGGCATGCAGGAGGTAGCTGATCAATTATTCTCTCTCATCATTGATGTTTCTCGCTCTCTCTCCCTCTCTGAAATCAATAAAAATATATTTAAAAAAAACAAACAAAAAAGCAAAGTAAAGCCAAATACTAAAATCTCTTAAGAATCCAGGTTCCATTACACACACACACACACACACACACACACACACACACACACTCTCACACACACACACAAACTGATTTCAGAGAGGACAGGAGATGGAGATAGAAACATTAATGAAGAGAATCATTGATCGGCTACTTCCTACAAGCCCCCTACTGGGGATCGAGCCTGCAACCCAGATATATGCCTTGACTGGTAATCAAACCGTGACCTCCAGGTCAACGATCAACCACTGAGCCACCGCAGTCAGGCCCAGATTCCATTCTTATCTAGGCAAAGTGTGTGGTTTGTTGAGCTGAGATACAAGTTACTATTCTAGAACAAATGCCACTATTGTAGATTCTATGATGCGGGGCCACATACTGTAAGGTATATAACATTTGCCATCAATAACCTGCCATGGCCTGTCTGTACCAGGAATATATAAAAAATTAAAATCAGCTTCAAATATGCCTTGAGGCTGAGAAATTAACATCTTTCTGGTTATGATCAGTGTACTCTAAATGGCTCCATGGGGTATGGCCAGCCAGGCCAGCAGAACGCCTTCAATCAGCTTGATCAGGTATTACAGGTTTTGTGTAACAAGGCAGAGCACCCTTATAGCACAGAAACCTAAGATTATTGGGGAAATTCATATCCTACCTGCAACATCTGTGGCCACCAGGATGGGGATGTCCTTTTTCTTAAAGTCTGAAATGACCTTGTTTCTTTCACTCTGATCCATGTCCCCATGAAGCAGCCCAAGATTATGATCCTCCTGTTTAAGGTTATTGGCCAGCTCCTCAGCATTGGCCTTTTTAGTAACGAACAGGAGAACACTCCCTGAAGAGGTAAACTCGACCAGACGCCGGGTAAGCCAGTTCCATTTACTAGGCCCGGAATGGAGAATTTCCACAATCTGTGTCACATCTTCATTTGCCTGAAAAGGAAGAAATGAAAGAGGATTGTGACATTTGTTCCAGAGGGCACCTGAACAGGGGCCAGACATCACATTTTTTACTTGCACCTAGCAGAACCTTAAACAATCTTTCTTCTGGGCCTTCCTTCAGCAAGTCAAGTGCACTCAAAACGCAGGTCCCTTTCTCAAATCGCTATCTCCAACTAATCTGCTAACCGCAATGTTTTTTATGCCTACTACTCAGATTATTCTTAATAAATTAAGCTGCCTTCTGCCCCTCCCACTCACTGTTCCTAGTAGAATTCATCCACGGACACAGAAGGGACTCAAAAATAAAGAATGGGCCGGGACCGGTTTGGCTCAGTGGATAGAGCGTTGGCCTGCGGACTAAAGGGTCCCGGGTTCGATTCCGGGCAAAGGCATGTACCTTGGTTGCGGGCACATCCCCAGTAGCGGGTGTGCAGGAAGCAGCTGATCGATGATTCTCTCTTATCGATGTTTCTAACTCTCTATACCTCTCTTCCACTCTGTGAAAAATCAATAAAATATATATATCTTAAAATAAATAAATAAATAAAATAAAAATAAAGAATGGACACTGTCAAAATGCTAACTGCTCAGAACTTTAATAAACATGGCAAGCAACTTAAGGAATTCTCAAGGCAGCCTTAACTGAATTTCAAATCACAATTCAGAGAAATTTTCCACACAGGTAAGGAAAAAACCCGTAACTTTCTTTTTTAATATATTTTATTAATTTTTTTTACAGAGAGTAAGAGAGAGGGATAGAGAGTTAGAAACATCGATGAGAGAGAATCATTGATCAGCTGCCTCTTGCACACCCCCTACTGGGGATGTGCCCGCACCCAAGGTACATGCCCTTGACCAGAATCGAACCCGGGACCTTTCAGTCTGCAGACCGACGCTCTATCCACTGAGCCAAACCAGTTTTGGCCCGTAACTCATTTTTACCAGGCTGTTCAAGTCCCCCACTCCATGCTGTGCAGACTCCCTCCCTCCATCATTTTAAATGTCAGTTCTATCCTGATAGTCTTTCTAGGCAAAGCTTGCTTCTTTTCCCCCCACAAATGTTATTTATAAAAAAAGTAAAAAATGGATGCACTTATTTATGCATCCATTGGTTAGTTCTTGTATGGGTGCTAGCCGGGGATCAAACCCACAACCATGGTATATAAAGACCATGTTCTAACCAACAGGGTTTCCCTTCTCTTTGGATATTTAAATTTAAAGCAAATTTGAAACATGCTGCCTCACCCATAAATACATAATATTTTTCCTCTCAGTAGTGAGAAATTCATACCATGTCTCCATAATCTGAGAAATAATCTATTGGGGTCCCATCCAGCCCTGCTAAGGTTACCTCTCCAATATCTCCTTGCACCACTCGAATAGGGTCGATCAGAATGTCTCTGGCCAGTTTTTCAATCTTTTTCCGAAAAGTTGCACTGAATAAGAGAGCTAAAAGGTAAATTAAATTTTGTTAAAGAAACAGTATGACTTCTTTTTTGAATAACCATTAAGCTTTCTACTAACATTTAAAATATTGTTTTTAAAAAATACTCCGTTTTTAAAAAATAAGCCTACTTGAACTTTAATCTTAGTTAAAACAAAAAACAAACCAAAAAAAAATTGACTAAGGAAAAAAGGCTTGATCTTACTCTATTTTTATAAATTTTCTGTTAAGACAGGGTTGTCATATGGTTAACAGAAATCAGATCTGCATTGTGCATTGCTTCTACCAAATAAAACTGTATAAATTGGAGCAAGTCACTCAATCCTCAGCCTTAGTATTTATTATCTATAACAACGAGTGAATTATAACTGATGACCTCTAAGGTCCTGTGCAGCTCAGATAAACAGTCACTATCTCACCCTTTATAGTTCTCACCAGTACACTCACATGATCATTTTTGCTGCCACAACTAAGTGCTTATAAAATAAATAGAGGAGCTTATTCTGAGTATAAATGTGGCTTAATAAAAATGCTGCATACATACTCTGTCTGTCAGGACGTACATGACTGGCGATGGATCGCACCTGGTACTCTGGAAGAAGTAGAAACAAAATTAATATTATAATTCTGCAATACAGTTTGGGATGCCTGAAAAAGTCATTTTAGTAAAAATCTTCATATGAAAGGTTATAAGAATTAAGGGGGAAAAGAAAGAAATAAGAAAACTTTAAAACTTCTAGATCTACTATTTTTTATGAAACTCAGAAAGCATTTTGTCCTCCACCCAGTTGGGGTAGGCCCAATAGTGTTTCAATCAATAAAGTTAAGACTTTTCACACAGCCAAATTAAGTGAAGGAAGACAGGAGAGCAAAGGTCCTTGAATGACATGAATCCACCCAACTAAGAACTCAGACCCTGACATCCACAATCAAAGGCATATGAATAAAAATAAAGCATAAAGCCAATATCCCCCCTATATACAAAGGCATTTTTCAATTGTCCTCAACCCATTCACACCTAACATACTTTTCCTGAGAGAACTCCTAAGAATAGTTTCTAATCCGCCCAAGGAATATTTTTAGCTACTCTCAGGAAAAAAAAGTTGCTAAGTTCAGACATGGGAAAAACTACAATAGTATCATGAGATGAGGGACAGAAGACACTGGTATTCAGAGCATACCAAATCCCATGTCAAACATTCGATCTGCTTCATCAAATACAAGGTAAGAAACTCTCTGAAGATTGGTAGCTTTCTTCTTCACATGATCAATCAGTCGGCCCTATGAGAACCAGAAAATGATTAGTAAATAAAATTAAAGGCATGTAAAACAACTTTCTAGAGTTGTGTTCCTAGCAAAGTATTACCGTATTTTTCGGACCATAAGACGCACCGGACCATAAGATGCACCAGTTTTTAGAGAAGGGAAATGAAGAAAAAAAAGATTCTGAAACAAATAGTGTCCTAAAATATTTTATGTGCATTAAAACCCAACATCACAGTCATAAACACATGTAATCAACCCTGTAAAGTAAACAGCAGCATTTAGAACCATTTTAGAGCCGGGCAAGCACACAGAGACCACACAGAGCCGGGCAAGTAAAAAAACTTTTTTTTTAAAGTATAGGTGTAGGCTATATTTGGATCATAAGACGCAGGGACTTTTCTCCCCCACTTCTGGGGGGGGGAAAAAGTGCGTCTTATGGTCCGAAAAATATGGTAATATGTCTTAGACTATATCAGACCCTGGTCTGACAGCCTGGACAAAGCCTAAAGAAACCCAGAAATTTTGAAAGCCCCATTAGATTCTTCCTTTACATTGTGATTTAAATTGTAGGAAAAGGGCCAGAATAATTTTTGTGAGGCATTCTGAAATGATCTAATTTAAAACCTTACTGATGGGCTTTAATGTTTAGACTACTCTTCTAGACAGCCTGACTATACATTGAATGTCTTTCTGATTCTTGATACTTTCAGTGACCTCATCCATTTTCTAGAACATAAGAAAAATTATTTTAAATAGAGGGAAATTTGTAGCTATTAATATACAGATCAGAGAATCTTATTGGACTATTTTAGTAATTAACCAAAATTAAATCAAAGCTACAGGCTGTCACTCACCAGAGTATTCTCTACCACATTTTAGGGGGGAAGTCCCTCTAATAACTAACCACTTTTCCATACAAACAGAGGCCGAGAAGCAATTTAAATCCAAGACATACTTACTGGAGTACACACAACAATCTCCGCCCCTTCCTGAAGGGCCTTGGCCTGCTCCCACATGCTTCCCCCTCCATACACGGCCACTGATCGAAGATTATATGCTTTCCCAAACCGCTTACATTCTGCATGGATCTAAAAAGTTGTGGACATAACAACACATTAACAAATTCTGTCAAAAACCTTTGTCACAACAAAAAAGGGAGTTATTCAAACACATAGAATACAATGTCAAAAAATAAAATGCTAGAAAATACTTAAGACAATTCTTATAGCATTTTTTAAAATCTTAAAAACAGTTTTTCAAAGTAAACTGTTTTTTTTTGATTATATAGAAAATACATTTCTATATAATCAAATACAAAAATATTGTGTATTTGATTATATAGAAAATATCCTATATAATAAAAGGCCAATATGCAAATCGACCAAAAACTGGAATGACTGGTTGCTATGACATGCACTGACCACCAGGGGGTAGATGCTCAATGCAGGAGCTGTCCCCAGCCTGCAGGCCCCAGGCCAGCCAAGGCGGGTGCCAGCTGGGGGGACCCCCAATTTCCCCACCAGTTGCCCCACAGATCAGCTGATTGCTGGCCAGGCCTAAGGACCCTACCTGTGCACAATTTCATGCACCAGGCCTCTAGTGTAACATTATTTTCCAAAAGTTTCCTGGTAGCTCAATGTAAATGTATTTAATGCCACTCTACTGCACATTTACAAATGGTTAAAATGGGAAATTTGATGTGTATTTTATCACAACTGAAAAAAAGTTTCCTGGTAATTCTACCCACTTGACTGGTTGGTCCCTTGCTAGTTCACATTTGCAAGGAGGCATTTCCATACAAAGCACATACCTGCTGGCAAAGCTCCCTCGTAGGACACACAATCACTGCAATTGGTCCATCACCTGGTTCCAGTTCCTTCTGGTCCATTATATGAATCAGCATGGGCCAGATAAAGGCAGCAGTTTTTCCACTGCCTGTTTTGGCAATACCAATCATGTCTCTTCCACTTAATGCCACAGGCACACCCTAGAGAAAAAGAAAGTATATCCACTTTCAACCTTCTATTGTGAAGATGTACTAAAGGAAATCGCAGGGAAGGAGTATATGACTATTAATGACATTCATTTTCACTGGAACAAAATTATCCTGGGCTATGCATACTAACTATGGAATAACAAAAAGTACGTGGCATTCCCCTAAACTTCTTGATTTGAAAGAAATATTTATCATTCTCTTCATGGTGGATCAGCCACGATTTACAAAATATAAATGATTTTATTTTGCTTAAAATATAGAAATAAAAAAATTGTAATTTATAAGTAGGTTACTAAAATTTTTAAGATCTTGTCTCCTTAAGAAGGTACAGACTGCCCTATCCACATACATAAAATTCTCAATTTTGGTGCAGGAATGAATAAATCCCATATATAAATGTGAAATAGAAGTTACTACTTTCAATTATGAGAATTTTCAGGTCACAGCCAAAGGGATCTTAGTAACTGACAGTACTAAATTTGTCCACACAGAAATCTTTATTTTTTTATTTTATCCTCAACTGAGGACATGCTTGGAGGTGGGGGTATAGAAACATTGATGTTAGAGAAAAACACGGATCAGTTGCTTTCTGTACACACTATGATCTTGAGGGGGGGAGGGGGGAGAGGGATTGAACCCGCAACCCATGTAAGTGTTCTGACAGGGAATCGAACGGGCAACCTTTTAGTTCACAGAATGACACTCAACCAGAAATCTTTGGCTGGGCCACATACAAATCTTTTTTATTATACTCTTGTATTTCATGTATATCTTCCCTCCTCTCCCCTTATTTGAAGCAAATGTTGAAGACGAAGCTACAGGGGAATATATGGATACATTCGACCCATGTCAATTCAGTTCCGCACTAATCAGTGTTGTGTGTTTTTAATTGATTTTAAAGAGAGGAAGGGGGAGAGGGGCTGGGAGAGAGGGAGTGGGAGAAACATCAGGATTTGAACCCACAACCTGAGTATGTGCCCTAATGGGGAATCAAACCTGCCACCTTTTGATGTAGAAGACGATGCTCCAACCAATTGAGCCACACTGGCCAGGGCTGCACTAACTAGTGTTTTATTGATTTGACTTGTTTGTAAAATAAAACACAGTTATTGATTATCATTCTACTTCATTTTCCCTTCAGTATGCTTTACTTACCTGGCACTGTATTGGAGTGGGCTGTGTGTATTCAGATTTCCGAATCTGGTGCATAAGTTGTTCATCAAACCCAAAATGAGCAAAACTGCTTCCTGGTCGAGGAGGTGCAGCACCAGAGACCTATGGGAAAGACAATTCCCAGGAATGATTTGTATTTCAAAATCAACAGCACTGGAGGTTCAACAAAATTTACCGGTACCTAGTATTTAGCTTGAATATAACGTGAAAATATAAGTCTGTAGCCAAAAAAGCACATGCTGTTCAAAAAGGTAAGAAAATTAATAGATCTAAAAACTTATATAAAAAACTCCAGGATAAATATTCCTGAGGTAACTGTCATATGTTTAAAATGATTAAGTGCCTAGACATCTCTTTAATAAAAATTAATTTTCTGTAAAAAATTAAAAAATAATTGTTCAATTCATTGAAAAAGGTCATTTTGCCGAAACCGGTTTGGCTCAGTTGGCCTGCGGAATGGAAGGTCCGGGTTTGATTCCGGTCAAGGGCATGTACATTAGTTGCAGGCACATCCCCGGTAGGGGGTGTGCAGGAGGCAGCTGGTCGATGTTTCTCTCTCATCGACGTTTCTAGCTCTCTATCCCTCTCCCTTCCTCTCTGTAAAAAATCAATAAAATATAAAAAAGAAAAAAGAAAAAAAAGGTCATTTTATTTTTTACCATTTGCGTAACTATTAGCCAGATGGTAGAAAAAAATAAAATTTGCTCTTAAAATAAAGAGTGCAAATGAGCTCTAAATATGGTTACAAAGATATCCGCCATTTCCACTTTTAGTCATGCTTGAAGAGTTAATGCTCCACTCAGTGATGGTCTAGACATTGTCAAGCACTATACTGTACCCAGGTAAAAAATGAAGCTTATAATTTCCATGTTGATCCCAACAGTGATAACCTTTCAATGCTTCCTCTGGTGATGCTATCTATTTCTACTCAGGATTTTGTGTAAAAGGCATTTTTTTGGGGGGGAAAGAGGGGAAGGGGGAGAATTTTGGCAAACGGACACACACATATACACTCTCAAAAAAAAGTAGTTCAAACATCACATAACAACTGGTAAGGTATAGGCCAGAAAGCTGTCCACACCAAGAAGATATCACCATATTATCTGTGTGTGTTTCACTTTACTAACATCGAGCAGCACCCTAAACAGCGTGGCCAATGTATAACCTAAACTTTCTGGGTGGGCAATTTAAACTATTACTGTGAAATTAGTGATTTTCTATTTTTAAAAGGTGTTAATGTCTTCTAATTGAAAAAACAACAACTGATCTGTATGTAATCTGAGAAGCAAGTGTTTATTAATTTCGAGATATTCTGACTTTACGTACTGATCCATCTACTGATCTTGTCTTTTCTTCTGAAGATGGTGATTCCTACCCTTCATCTCTAGCCCACCAAACACAGTTCTCAAAACACTGTATTTGTTGGAGAAATACTTGCTGATTAATTTTAAGAGTGCGATGACATATTGTTCCATACAACATATAGAGTTGACTGAACACATTTAGCATTTATGTGTGTCACATGCAAGAATACAATCCTATCCTCAAAGAGCTGGAAGACTAACATAATAAAAACTAGACACATGAACCCAAGCAATATAATTATTACTCTACCAAAGACAGTTCAGAGACCATTAGAAAAGAAATTCAAGATTAAGAATATCTAGCTTAATGGTTGGACTTACCCGAAGATTGAGCTTATGCCGAAGATCTATTAGCTGCTGTGGGGTGAGGTTTGTGATCTCTTCATGTTCATTGTAAAAATTTTTTTCAAATGGTGGATAGTCAATCTGCAGGTCCAATTATTCAAAGTTAGTCTAGAATTCAAGAGTCAATCCTGTGAGTTTGACTTTAATGCAAAATAACCTTTTACAAATATTACAAAGCCAAAACCAGACAGAGAACAAAGGAATTCACTTATTCCTGACAAACATCCCCAAAGTACAGCTAGTATCATTCCCTAATCCCATTTCCCAATATAAACACCAACCTACTTTCTAAAGAGACCCTTAAGAACACATTTCAGCTCTAGCCAGTTTGGCTCAGTAGATACAGCATTGCCTGCAGGCTGAAGAGTCCCAGGTTGAATTCCTGTCAAGGGCATTTACCTGGATTGTGGGCTCGATTCCCAGGAGGGTGGCATGCAGGAGGCAGCCAATCAATGATTCCCATCATTGATGTTTCTCTCTCCCTCTCCCTTCCTCTCTGAAATAAAAATTAAAAAGAAAAAAGAAGAAAAAAAAAAACACTTTAGGGGAGTGGAGGGTAGAGGGCAGGGTAAAGGGGGGGGGGAATCAGAGGGGACATATGTAATATTTTGAAAAATAAAGATAAAATAAAAAGGAATTTACAATGCCAAAGGCTTCAGATTTTAAAATAGCCCACCCTATAACATTTAAGTGTTTTAGAGTAAGCTGTTCACTCACTTAGCTCAAAGCATTTAAAAATATTTCTAATATTTCCTTTGGGGACAGATCTGTGTGTAGAGGAAGTTCTATTCTTTTTAACATGGAATTGTTTACATAACTTTAAAAAAGGAATGACCAAGCATTTCCAATTCCAAGGAGGGAAGAAGTAATTTCTGCTACTCTTCATAGCTTACTGTACTAATAACACAAAACAGAAGCACACCACCACATAGGAATGTGGTTAAATGATTTTCTTTTTGACAACATGGTACGTTTACAATAAACTTATTTAAGGAGAATGTAAGTCTTTACTGGGTGGTCAAAAATGTCATAATTCTGGATAAAGCCTAATTATCTTTCTATAGCACTAGCAACAAAAGGTTTTACAGTTTGCCTGTCAGGCAGGAACTTTTGTTATGAGCCCACAATGCTGCTGCACATAATGGAGTCTTTATCATTGCCTTTAGTTCTCTTTATAAGAATGGAAGCTCCATGAGAGCAAGAATTTTTAGTTTGTTCACAAATTTTATATATAAACATGTAAATTTTTATGTTAAGGAAGAAACAATGAGAAGAAAGCTACTTTTAAGTAGAAAGGGTAATCTTCCCTTACTTCTGGTCTCTCCTGACAGACTACCCATTTCATAAGAACAACTGGGAATACCCCAGGATGATGAAGTTTGAGCACTTTGTCAAAGATTTTTATTAGACGATTATTTCAAGTACTTGCATGTTTTTCCTTACTGGATTTTTACTCTATACTTCTTCCTAGATCAGGTTCAAATATTTTGTTTCACTGTCACATGCATTATGTGATAGCATTTAGGCAAAAGGAAACATTTAGAAAATTGACTAGACCAGTGGTTCTCAAACTTTTTCGCCTCAGGTACCCTTTACACTTAACAAAAACACGACATTTCATTTATGTGGGTTATAGTTATTGATATGTACTGTGTTAAAATTAAAACAAAAATTTTTAAATTTATTAATTCATTTAAAAAATAACAACAGCCTGACCAGCATGGCTTAGTGGTTAAGCATCAACAGTTTGATTCCTGGTCAAGGCACATGCCCAGGTTGTGGGCTTAATAACCAGTGTAAGGGGTACAGAAGGTAGCTGATCAATGATTCTCTCTCATCACTGATAGTTCTCTTTCTCTCTCTCCCTTTCTGAAATCAATAAAAATGTATTTTTAAAAATTTATAATAAACCATTATACTTTAACATAAATGCTTTAACAAAAATAACTTTGACAACATTGTTTTACATTTTTAGAAGTCTCTTTAATTTCTGACAAAAGAAAATGGTTCCTACTACATGTAAATTGTTGTGATAGGTTGCTTTCAGTCCAGGAAAAATCTGGCCCCTCACAGATATGTGGTTGGAAAAGGAAATTATTTATTAACAGCCTTTTCAGATTCTTGTGGATTTTTATTCTTCTTCAATTCTATACTAAAACTTGACAAGTCATTTCTTACAGGTTATTTTCACTGCGTAATCTGAAACCATATCATGAACTTTTTACAGTCTGTTACATTATAACCAATGAATCTATCATATACTTTGAATGGGAGTCTTTATTCATGCATGATTTTGTAATGTCATGCACTGGCCATTTTGAAAACACATTTTCTGAGGTTTATGAGGTAGTATGCAGGTGATTCAAATGGTAAAATTTCATTACATACAGATATTTTTAAAATCACAGTTATTACCATCAATTTCATTACCACAGACTTTACATATAAAAAAGCTGACAAGCTCACTGTGATGAATATGTTTCCAAAATTCTAAGTTTTGTTTGAAAGTTTTAAGCTTCTATCCTTGGCAATAAACACTTTTAATTTTCCTTAAAGTGTCATTCATTTTCCTTAAAGTGTCATTCATTTTCTCAATTGAAAACAGTATTTCATGAGAAAAACAGCTAGTTCAGCTCACAACTCAAACACCTAAATGTTTTATTCTTTCAATATATTTTTATTGATTTCAGATAGGGAGAGGGAAAGGTAGAAACATCAATGATCAGATGTAATCATTAATAAGCTGCCTCCTGAATGCCTCCCCCACTCAAGCCTGCAACCTAGGCATGTCCTGACCGGGAATTGAACCATGGCCTTTTGGTTCACAGGTTGATGCTCAACCTCTGAGCTACGCCAGCTGGGCTGTTTCAAAGATATTCTAAAGTGAAGCTGGCTTTTTTTTTTTTTTTTTTTTAAACTGTGATAGTCTAGCAGGAAAGAATATATTGACTACAAGAACAGTTGATACCACTGTCTTTTTTAATCCTCACCTGAGAATATTTTTTAGAAAGAGTGGAAGGGAGTGAGGTGGGGGAAGGAAGTAAGGTGGGGAAGAGTTAGGGGGGAGAGAGAACCACTGACATGAAAGAGACCAGGGCTGGAGATTGAGCCTGCAACAGATATATGTGCCCTCGACCAGGAATCGAACCTGTGACTCTTCAGTCCACGTGTCGACACTAACCATTGAGAAATTCATCCAGGGATAGTTACCACTGTTGATTCATGCTAAGCTATTAGCAGTTTTATCTACCATTGATTTTAGGCATGGATGCAAATGCTGACCCAGTAAACAAAAATAAAAAATCTTAGTATTATGAAAATTCTTTGACTCCATAGAATCCCTGAAAAGATCGTTCCAGGAATCTTTGCACCACACTTGAGAACCATCGTTCGAGATCTAGAATCACTAGGGTATCGAAGATCTAGTCTAATATTTAACCTCAATGAAATACTGATTTTTTTCAAGTGAATTTACTGATATTCTCATTTTCTTTTCCTGATTTAAGGAACCTGTAATTCCTGGTAGCCTTTGAAAGAACAGTCTTTTTCTGCTCCAGATCTGTGAGAAATAGTAAAGGCTTACAGCAATGAAAAAATAAATGCAGGCCTAAGGGTCCATTTTGAAAGAAAGATGGTTGGTTAAATGATGGTCTAGAACAGCCGTCACCAACATTTCAGACCTCACAGACCACCACAATTTATTGAAAAAAAATTCTTCACATATAATTGATGTGAACAAGCAATTCAGCTTGAACAACAAAGGCTATAAAGCCTCAATCACTCAGTCACTTTTTGTTTCAATCACTTAGCAGAGCTGACAAGATCCCAAAGAACAAATATTCTTATGACATAAGGAGTATAAATCAGGAGTACTCAGATATTGAGTACTCAGATATTTTTAAAACTGAAGAAACTGTATTGGCTTGAAACAAGAATCAAATTCATCAAAAAACCATACCTCTGAATGATCAATGGGAGGAAGAGGATCAATGATTTTTTTGGAAGGTGCAATTGGATTTCCATCACTGTCATATTCCAAATTATCTTCCTCTTCCTCTTGAACCACACCAGCAGTTGGGTTCTCTGCCATGTACCGAAAATAAGCTTCCTGCAGGAAAGCACAAGCACATAATCATACCAAGTACAATTGGGAACATTTCTGCTCCAGTGATTAGTGCACACAGTGTACCAAATGATTGCAGTTTAAATACCTACCAAGTAAGAAGTCTCTTACTAGCAATGATTCCTTTAACACTAGCAATACTTGGAGGGACAATCAGAAGAAATGAGTGAAACAGTACTACAAACTGATTTAACAGAAGACGTACAAATCTATCTGTTTCACAGCATTCCTGGGGTGCGGTGTCTACCTACCCTGCCCAGAGCTGTGGAACACATGTTGTGGCTTTATCAATCCAAGTTTAGAAGTTGACACTGATTAGAAGATTCATAAACCTGGAAAGGCTACTGCTCACTTTGGTTCCCTTCTCACCATCCCATAACTGACCAATGAGGAAAAAAATACTAAAGGAGTGTCATTAATGTTCCATCTTGAAACATAAAAATCACAAACAGAACCCCTAGAAAGGTAGAGGTTGGATGTTGCTAGAGGCCTCAGTGGATCCCACACTACTTCTTGATTTATAAGAATACACATCAGTTTAGATTATAAAAAAAAAAAATCAATCAAGCTGAATAAAGCTCATATTTGTTTTTGATGTTATAGTTGATCAAAAGTTCCATCTTCAACATGGATGAAAGCCATGTTAATCTTTGTATTACCAACTGGTCACACATGAAGAAAAGGAGCAAGTCAAATGACATTCCCTGCTGAGTATCAGGAATGGCCATTTCAGTGAAGGCAAGCTCTAGCTTGTCCCCAGTGTAGACTTTGTGGGGTAAACATAAAAGATAGAAATCTGCATAGGAACTCACTTGGTCATCTTCCTCTTCAATGTCATCTCGAATACCCCTGGAAAAACAAGCGGAGAAACAAACTTCCCTGCAAATGTTCCACATACCCAGCTCCATACTTATAGCAGATTAGTGTTGAATTCCATACAGCACAGGAATTCTCAACACTAATAACAACAAAGCAGCAATAACAAACTATCCATCCATCATATATGTATAATTTCACTCTATATGCTACAGTTTGCATTTCTTTTGAATGGGGTGCTAGGGTACCCCTAGAAATGCCAATTACTAATAAGGTATAAGGAGTAAAAAACTTCTGAAGATATATACCCAAGGACCATAGCCTTGTCAATCACTTACAACAACCAACAAGCAATTGTGAAAAGCATTTAAAAAAAAAATCCTACTTTTGGTACACTAAAATAGGTCACAATTTTCTTAATGTCCCCTAGCTCTAGAGTTACTGCATTCAGCTATAGAATAATTGGGGACAGAGAAAAAAATTAAATCAATTCTTGGTAAGTTTGAGACTAAAACTCCTAAGCAGTTCACCTAGAGAAGGGCACAAACGCCCCTTTGCTGACTCTATCAGGAGCTTTAGAAAGTGTGGTTGCTTAGTTCCCACAACCATCTCTTTCTAATCAAACATTCTGCCTAATCTAGAGCACTTACTATTCCCAAGGCAAGCTACACCACCAGTGCAGGCTTACTGAAAGAGGATGCAACACACAGTAAGCACCAAAGAGAGGGCTGAACCTCTATATGGCACAGGAACCTTGGGGAGGGCCTGAAGCACAAATTACCAAGCAGATGGAGAAGTCCAACCATGCCCACTTTTGTCTGGTAGCAAAAACTTTAATAGGAGTGTATTCTGCAAGGGATAGAGAACTCATTTTCCCAGAAAATAATGTATTTCAAGTTCTGACTCATTGCTAAAGCATGGTTTAACTCCTTAAATAAATTAGATTGTTATTTATTATTAATATACATAGTTTTAAAATGGCATAATCACCATTACTTCTCCTAATCAATCCTATAGGCATTAACCTGATTTTTATTAATTATGAAACAAAACTCAGAACAATGAACCCAAACTTTAGTAATTATGCTCTCTTAACTTCAACTGTAACTTATTCTTGAGTTTACTAAAAACAAAAAAACCAACAAAAAATGAACAAAAACTACAAAACATCAAATACCATTTTATAAAAAAAAATGCTTTCTAAATACTGCAAATTTAAAGACTTTTGTAATCTCTACCATTTGCAGAAATGCTATTCAAGATACAGGGCTAACTTCAAGTTAAGAATTTATGTATTTTAATTTTAGCTCTATAAATTTTGGGAGATATAGGTGTTACAATACTTTATTTTTATACAAACTTTGTGAGGGAGAAGAAAACAACTTACTTTACGTTTTTCTTTTCCTTGTCCTTTTCTTCAAGCCTCTTCATGTCTCTTGCTGCCTGATCCTAATGAAACAAAAGGATGTATACAATCATAGCAACTAAAAAATAAATTTCTTTACAAAGAATTTTTAGATTCAAACAAATGCTAGCATACTTTTAGCTATGCATTTTGACAATTGCATTTGGGTGCAAACTACATCTTGACAATTTTCCAGAGAAATACCCAAATGTTCTAAAACCTTGGCTATAAATGTCTGTGACTTTTACCTGCATTTTATAGCATGCATAGAAAAATTAGTAAAAATGCTTGGTCCTTGTTTTTTTTTTAAGTTAATGAACTAATTGTGGCTGTCAAAGAACTTAAGCTTAGGCAAATCAGGCTTTCTCAAGGTGCAGCGTAAGAAAATTTGCTTCACATTATCATTGGGGCTATTAAAAAATGCAGATTTCTGGATCTGTCTTTGGAAGATTGCTGTCAATCCAAGTTTAGAAGTTGATACTGATTAGAAGGGTCACAGTTTTGTCCCCAGTGGACTTTTGGTGATGTTTATAGACATTTCTGATCATCCAACTTGGGGACAAGAGGGGGAGTGAAGGAGAGGTTGTTAGTGACAGCTAGTGGATAAAGGCCACAAATGCTGCTAAACATCCAACAATACACAGAACAGTCACAACAAAGAACGACTGAGCCCCAATAGTCCTGGGGTGCAACACCCTGCTCCAGAACCCTTGTGTGCATACATGTAGTTTTCCCATTTTCCACAGGTACATTCTTATACAAGAAAATTAATAATCACTGATCTAAATTAATTCTTTGTTTTGTGTGAATATCAGGGTTAGAAAAATTAAAAGTTCCCAAAATTAAACACATTCTGCACAAGTTTATTATAAAGCAACATGAATTTTTCTGACTTCTTTCATTTAAAAAAAATGCCAGGGTATTAAACCTGGCATCCTATTTAGTCAAGTGTTCCGGACAGAGAGAAATTATTTTTTAAAAGAAATATTATACATAATCTACTTTTCAAGGGATTGAGCCACATATAAGATACACAGGGTGGGGCAAAAGTAGGTTTAGAGTTGTGAGTACGTGAAACATCGTTTATTTGTGTATTTTTATTTATTAGTTATTGCATTATTTTCCATATGAACAACTGTAAATATACTTTGGCCCCACCTGTATTTAAGGCTAAAATTAAAGTGAAGACAACATAAACAATGTAACATAAGAAATGGCTGGCAAACACTTATAGAACATATTTGTTAAGCCTACATAAATCCTTTTTTGAAACACTGGCTAAAAATAAATCCTCACATGACTGAGTAGAGAAAAACAAAAATAAATCGTACCTCACAAAATAAAATAAAATAAAATCCTCATCTTGAGTTTAATCACTAGAAAAATTTATACTGAAGATCAGTATACTTCGGCAACATTTACTCCAAGACCAAGATTTAATCTCCAAATTGCTTCAACTACTTGAAATGCCAAGCAAGAGAATCTAGGCCATGCTTGGATACTCCCACTCAAAAAGGGTGATGGCAGCTTACAATTCCAAAAATCAAATTTAAACCTAGAAAATGATTTTTCTTCCAATTCATCACTAAAGATATCTCAAGAAATTATGAGAAATAAACCCCTTTGAGAAATGTCCATATCTGAAGATTATATATAGACATCTCAAATATGACATTTATTGCCTTTACTTCTAGAGAGAATCATTTAATATATTCACTAACTTGCTACCATGATGCAAAAGCACATGTATGAAAAAAAAGGCACATCTATGTTCTGAATAGTTTTGGTAGGTGTTAGAGGCTTTTTATTATTATACTTTTGTATATGTTTAACTTTTTTCTTAGTAAGTAAATAAATAATAAATAAAAAGGAAAATCAGAAATGGGGGGGGGGAGGACAAAAGGCAAAATCATAAGAGCCTAGTATAAATAATTTTATGGAGTAGCCAGAAGTTTCAATTTCTACAGGGAAGTCATGAATGCTGATGATAACGTTGGTAGTAAGAAATAATAAACATTAAAAGTATAGAATACGAATTTGTGATTTTAGCAAGTTCCTTAAATGCAACTGCCTTAAATATGTATTTAATAAACTATAGCTTGAATGAGATAATGTTCATTCCATTTAAGAATATACCAAGAATTATTAAAACGAAACACACACAAAAATATTGAGCTACTATGTTCAAGGTTTACAGTGCAAGCGGAAGTATATTTACGAAACTAGAGTATAAGAGCAAAATTCTTTCCCCAAAAAGCCAGAAAACAAATTCTGAATGAGGACTGATTAGATTTCTAAAGCATTAGATTACTTTGGGCTATTTCTAATTGCTGAGTATTTTAACAAAACAGAGTTGATACTTGCTTCTACTTCAGCCATGAATGCCTCCAAGGGATCATCATCGCTGTCAGAATCTGCTGGCTTGGAATGGAATTGCTGGCGGGTAGGGGAGTTTTCAGCAGGAATATAAGGTAAATCAACATTGCTAGAGTCTTCTTCCTCATCTTCAAAGTATCTGAAAAACAAGATGTGTGATTGCTAAAGTGAATGTTTAGTTTGGGTCAGTGAATCTTCCATTTAACAGAAATTTTTATTATGATATACTAGAAGCCTGGTGCTTGAAAATTCATGCACTGGAGGGGGGATGGTCCCTCAGCCTGGCCTGCCCCCTCTCATGGTCCAGGAGTCTTCAGGTGCAGGAAGCGACCTGGCAATCAGGGGAAGGTGATGCCCCCATCACACCTCTGCTGCTGCCACTGTTGGCAGTGCAAGCCTCAGCCAGCCCTGGTTATCTACGCCTCAGGCCGGCCCTGGGAGGCTGGGAGGCTGAGAGGACTGGGGGATTCCAGAGGCAGGTGTGCCTTTGCCATGCGCCTGCTGCCCTGGCTGGGCTCAGGGGACTGGGCATCACCATCTTTGAGGGTGGGGCAGTCAATTAGCAAATTACTTCCTACTGGCAGTGGGCACCTCCATCTTTGCAATTGTGTGAGGGTCAATTAGCATATTCCCTCTTTATTAGATAGGACTAGAGGTCTGTTACATGATACTTGTACAAGAATAAGCCTTCCTTCCTTCCTCTGGCTTCACTCCTGGTCAGAACACTGCTCCTGTAGCTCCCCCCCAGCCCCCCAGCAGGCATCACACCCCTCCTGGCCACTCTGCATCTGCATCTGCAAATCAATCCACCATCTTTTGTTGGGTTAATTTGCATGGTCACTCCTGATTGGCTGCGGGTGTGGAGGTGTGATCAATTTACATGTTTGTCCATTATTAGGTAAGATGATACTATTAAGAGATTTAAACTACACAAGTCAAATTAGAGACCTTTAGGCTTTGGCTAAAGATTTCAATATCCTATCTAATAAAGAGGGAATATGCTAATTGACCTTCACACCATTGCAAAGATGGCAGCACCCACAGCCAATAAGGAGGGAATATGCTAACTGCCTGCCACGCCCTCAAGATGGCATCGCCCCACAGCCACAAGATGACGATGCTCAGTCTCCTCAGCCCCACCAGGGAGGCAGGCATGCAGCAAGACCGGGGTGGGCCCGGCCTTGCCAAACACCTGCCTCCAGAGTCCCCCGGTCCCCTCTGCCCCCAGCCGCCCAGAACCAGCCTGAGGCACAGGCAAGCCTTGGATGTCAGCTGCCCAGCCACCCAGGCCACCCGAGGCTCAGGTAACCAGGGCCAGCCGAGGCTTGCGCTGCCGGCAGTGGCAGCAGCAGAGATGTGATGGGGCATCGCCTTCCCCTGATCACCAGGTCATCTCTCTCCTCTGAGGGCTCCTGGACTGTGAGAAAGGGCAGGTCGGGCTGAGGGACGCCCCTCCAGTTTATGAATTTTCATGCACCAGGCCTCTAGTTACGTAACGTTGAAAAAAGGCACAGCAGATTCTCATTTCAATAGTGACTCTTCAAATTAATTTCCAATTATTGTTTTCAGTACAAATTTAGTATATTATTGTTGAATAGATACCACAAATATTAAATAATGTATGCTATGGAAAAATTACTTTCAAATGAAATATTAAAAACCTTTAAAATTTTATTCTTATAATTTTTAAAAAATGTTTTAGAGACATAAGTTCTGGTCTATTTTCTGAGGACCAACAGAAAACTTCTAGAATTAAAAATAAATTCTCAATCTAAAATCATTCATCATACTACTTAAGTATTTCTCCCTCAAAGTCTGGAGGAAATATCACTTTATCACTAACAAAAATCCCAGAAAATACAGCTCTTTATAAATTAAACCAAGGCAAAAACATTTATGCCTTACCTCAAAATTAAATAAAATAGTAATATAACCAAATACTTAATACATAAATTTAAATATAGTATGAATATAAATATCTAAATATGGGGAGAAACCAAGATGGCAACATAGGTAAACACCTGAATTTGCTGCCTTGCACAACCACTTCAAAACTACAACTAAGACAAAACAAACATCATCCAGAACCACAGGAAGGCTGGCTAAGTGGAAATTCTACAACTAGAGGGAAAAGTACTGAGACTCAGAGGAGCTGCAGAAGTGCGGAAGTAAAGTGTAGAGGTATGGAGGCGCAAGCACAGAGAGGGCTAGCAACTGAGTAGGTAGCTGGCTTTTTCAATCCGCAGGGAGACACAAGCTCCCGATTGCTCTGAAGTGCAGTTATGGGCAGACTCTGGGGACGCAGACTCATATGGGGAGAAACTGGACTGTCTGGCAGCGGGTGAAACTTGAGGGTGGTTTTCTCTCAGAAGTGCTTGCAGCGATTACCGATTACCGTGGGACCTGGGGGTCTCTTAGGGCAGAGCTGATGGGAAGCCATTATTCTTTGATTTGCCCTGAGACTCCGCCCCACCCCAGCTGTGCATAGAGGGCTTTTGCATATGAATGGCCTGGTCCTTTAAAATCTAAACTTACCTAACAAACTGCAGCTGAGTCAGAAAGACCCAGAACATCCAAAAGAAGGCCCAAGGCCCCACAGCAGCTTGCACTGCTTCACAGCTGGGCCTCATCTGGGCACCTCCAAAACCCAAACAAAGAAATCTGCAGATCTCTCTGTAGCTACTGCTGGGTGGCCTCAGGCAGAGGCTAAATTAGCACCTCCTTGGAGAACCAAGAGCCAGTGTACCCAGGAATCAGAGTATGACCATCCAGATTACAACTCCTCAGATCCATAAGGGACACACTTAGGGGGCAGACTCAGTGAGCACCAAAGCCCTAATGAAGCAAGTCTTGCCTCATAAGAGTGTCTCCATTGTAGATACAGCTGATCCTCACAGCCAACAGGCCTGGAGGTCAATTCCTCCCAGGGATACCAACAACAATCAAGGCTTAACTATAAGACTGTGCACATAGCCCACAAAGGGATGCACCAAGAGTATCCACCTCAGGTAACTGGGGAGGCTGAGCCATTTGGGCCCTATAGGACACCTAGCACACAAAGCCACTCTATCAACACAGGGAAGCAGCCAAAATGCGGAGACCAAGAAACAGGTCACAAATGAAAGAAATAGCAGGCGTCTTCAAACTACGGCCCGCGGGCCACATGCGGCCCGCAGAGGAGTCTGATCCGGCCAGCCAGGTTTTTTGGGCAGTGAGCGCAGCCGAGGTGTTACAGTAGGAATTAGTAGTTCATATAGTCCGGCCCTCCAGCTCTCTGAGGGACCGTGATCTGGCCCCCACTTTAAAAAGTTTGAGGACCCCTGAATAGAGGATATAGAGTTCAAAACCACTGTTCTAAGGTTTTTCAAGAAGTTTATAGAAAAGGCCAATAAATTTAGTGAGACCCTCGAGGATATGAAAAAGGACCAACTAGAAATTGGACTGAAATAAAGAATAATACACAGAGATCCAACAGCAGACTAGAGGATCGCAAGAATCAAGTCAAAGATTTGAAATATAAAGAAGCAAAAACACCCAGAAAGCAAACAAAAAACTTCAAGCAGTGTCACTCACTCAACCAGGTAAGAAATTAAGAGATTTCTTCAGACTCAGGAAAAACAGAAATTATAACCTATAAGAATTAGAACTCAACCCCCATCTTTTTATAATAACTACCTTATTAGAGTTAAAAAAAGATAACTGCTAAATACATTTCTTGAGAACTGTGGGCAAAAATCTGAGATTGTTTTATACCACTATTAAGATCTTTTTTTTTTTTAATTTAAATTCTTTATTTTTTTTAAAAATATATTTTATTGATTTCTTACAGAGAGGAAGGGAGAGAGATAGAGAGTTAGAAACATCGATGAGAGAGTCATCGACCAGCTGCCTCCTGCACACCCCATACTGGTGATATGCCCGCAACCAAGGTACATGTTCTTGACTGGAATCGAACCTGGGACCTTTCAGTCCGCAGGCCGATGCTCTATCTACTGAGCCAAACCAGTTTTGGCTAAATTCTTTATTGTTTAAAGTATTATATAAAACTATTAAGATCTTAAAACATAACAGTTTTAAGGACTTGGATGTTGAGGCAAACTGAGTCCCATCCCTACATTCTGACAATGGCCTGTGTTTACAAAACAATTTATATAACGTCAATAAAAGACTTCAATTAAGAACTTAAAAAAACCACCACATGAATTATTTAAAATCTTTTCGGCCATATTTAGGTCTCAATGGCCCCAAATCTTTTTTGGAACAAGTTAAGGTACAAGCAAGCACACATTATATTCCTTACAAATGAGTAAACTCCACAATTTAACTTAGTAGCAACAATTCAGTGAGATAATTTAAAAAGTTATTTTTATTCTGGAAACAAAGTGTATCTTTGCCTCAATTTCTGTTGATGGAATGAATTATCTCAAAGCTCAACCTTTGCTACATTTATCAGAAGTTACTACTTACGCATTTTCTTCATCAAAATTGGCCCGCTTAGATCCAATTTTATAGAAAGAAGGGAGCTGTGGTGGAGCTGACTTCCCAAATCCAGAAGAAGAGCTGGTTGCCCCAAAGGCACTGTGGGACTGTTGTGGGAGTTTTGGTTCTTCCTTCTTTCCAGCACTAATGGCAAAACCTCCAAAGCCAAATCCCCTTTTAGTGCCAGGGCCACCTTTATTCCAGTTCATGGTGTCAATGATTGATCTGTTAGGAACAAGATACATTAATAGAAATTGAACTTTATCCATTGATTTTATGTCTCTCTCAATCTTTACCTACAATTTCATTCTCAACTTTTGCCTCTCTATTAACTTTAACTTTATACTTCAGATATGCAGCATGCTAACTTCAATGAAATGGTCAGGTTTTCCAAAACACTGAAGTAATTTTTATTTTATTGGACTCTCAGTCTAAATGGGAATGCAACATTTAATATCATTCCCTTTAAAAAGATTTGATTGCTAATTTAGTATTTGTTAAGCTGCAAAAATACTCCTAAAACAACAAACATTTTGGAAGGTCAGATGTGTGGTATTACATTGAAAAGAATTAAGCTCTTAAATTTTATCCTTAAGAAGTTTACAGTCTACCAGGAAAACAGACAAAAAGAAAAACACACAAAAACCACAAAAACAATCTACAACTACAATATCATGTAATGCTTGCTATAATAGAATGAGGTGCTATCGGCAATGCTGTCCCAAAATTAACCATTTTCCTCTGGTGATGACATCTCGAAGATTCAAAGAATCAAAATTTTAAAAATAGTTATTTGTAGAAATTACCTACGTTATTATCTCTACTTATGAACTGTGCATTTATTTAGCAAATGCACACTAGAACAGTAACTAGAAAGAAACCCCTGTTGCCTTTGTGGTTAATTCTATGGTTAAGGGTGCCAAAGAAATTTCCTGAGCTTCAATTCAATCAATTTAAAAACAGTATTTTATAGCATCTTATTAGTCTTGGCTCCAAAAAACCATTTTTATATACAGGTTACCTAAGTTTTATAGAAAAGCAGGAAGCTCAGAAAGCATAAAGGAACAAAATTTACAACTACCTGAAATTTCCTCTCCCAGATATGTATTCTATATTGTTTTTGTTGTTGTTGTTGTTGCTAATCTTCACCTCGGGATAGTTTTTCAGTGACTTTTAGAGAGAGTAAAAGGGCGGGGGAAAGACACACAGAGAGCAATATCTATATGAGACACATTGATTGGTTGCCTCCAGCACCGGCCAGGCATCTTAAGATATGCAACTAAGGTATGTGCTCTAGACAAGAATCTCACTCAGGACGCTTCAGGTCAGAGGTCAATGCTCTATCCACTGAGCCAAACTGGCTAGAGCTCTTCACTATTTTTTAAGTTGTACACACACACACACAATTTGAAACAAAATAAAACCACAGTGTACATATTAGTTACTGATTTCTTCACCTAATGATATACTATGAACATCTGTGATTATCAATAAATATATTTCTCTACTACTGTTTTATAATGTTGTGAAACATATCATATAGCTAAATCTTTGTGCACACCTGAATTATTTCCTTAGGATAATTTTTTAAAATGTAACTGCTTAGTCAAAGGAAAAATGCATTCTAATTATAAAATTTCTAATTATAACTTACATTTATGGAAAAGTGTCATTACACCTTAAGTCAAATAAAAAGGGCATAGAACAAGGTGAACGATATGATTCAACATAATTCAATGTAAAAGCATGTGTAACACATCCAGAGATAGCTGGAGGGCTGTTAATCAAAATGTTAACTGCAGTTTTTTTATTTTTACTTTCATATCTGTTTAAATGTTTACAACTAATAATAAAAATTAAAATGTTTATAATGGGCTCTGAAGCAAATGTAGAAAACGAGTTCCAAAAATGGCTCTCTATGATGACATTGGTGAAAGGACCAAGAATAACACGCTCTACTTTCCTGCTTCTCTTCCCCTCCCTCATCTATCTTAGGTTTTGTTAGAATTCTTATATAGCACTTAGCTCAGTTTTAGTATTAAATCTGATTTATGCTATGTCAATCTTCAACCTTAGGCCACCCTTAGGTTCACAGACGGGTCTAAGCTTGATTTCTCATTCTGGGTGCACGGTGGTGGTGGTGTGTGTAGGGGGCAAAAGGAGGTAATAATCCATTTTTCTCTCTGGAATCAGTGAAAAATATATCCTGAGGCAATTAAAAAAAAAAGGAAAATAAGAGCTGATTATATTAATATCATTTTGATAAAAACGAAAATGTAAACTGCACTCACAATACAATCTAAGTCAGATCTTTTCACTACTCTGCTCAAAACCCTCAGATGGTGCTCATCTCCAGCAAGCAAAAGTGAAATCCTCAAAAAACTAAAAGGTCCTGGTAGTTCTGCTCCTTTCCCAATTCTTTTCTTTTTCTTCCCTGAGCCTATATCCTACCACTCCCTCCTTTGCTCCAGTGCTCCAGAACATCGGGTCCGCTTCCAGGCCTTTAACTTGCTAACCTCTGCCTAGAACATTCCTTTCCCCACACTGGCTGGGCTCACACTCCTCACCTGCTTTCAATCTGCTTAAATATTAGGTTATGTTTTCCTGACCACCCTACTTCAAAATGCAACACCTTCCCATCTTTCAACCCAGTTGTATTTTTTCCTAAGGCACTAATAATAATCTAATTTACAGTATAATTTATAGATCTACTTACTGTCTCTCTTCTCTCCGCTAGAAAGTAAGTTTCATGAGGGCCGGTGGGGGGGGGGGGGCGCGGGAGGGAGGAGGACATCAGACCCTAAAACAGTGCTAAGGAATAGGCACATAGTAGGCATCAATAAGAATATTTCTTAAGTGAATGAATTGCAAATGAGGCCAAAGAATGCCCCTTCTCGGTGAAGGAAAATGCAATATACTTTTTTTTTCACCACTGAGAGCCTGAAAATTAATTTTTGTATGAAACACTTATTGCTCACCTCCTATGTGCCAGAACTGGGCTTGGCTCTGAAAAGTTACAGTGACTAAGAAATAATCTCCCCCTTGTATAAAGGGGAGAGAAGAGATACAGAAACATCATTGCAATAAAACAACATTCAAGGAAGCCAAAGGAAACTGGAGCCTAAAGGAGTAAAGGGCAAACGGGGAATGCTTCACCAAAGTGACAAGGAAGCTATCATTTTCCCCAAACTCTCGACTAGTATTATAGCAGATAGTTTCTCTTTACATTATTGGTACGTAAGCTTGCAACTCCACATAAATTATTTACTCACATCAAGTAGGCCGCAAAAAAAAGTTTGCGTGACGATGTCAATACTAATCACTATCTACTCAAGGCTGCACACAACATCGCCCACTTTGTCATTTACTGTCTTCCGATTTGGCAACTTTTGCCGCTAGAGTTCCCACCCGGTTTGGGGGCTTGCACCCACCAACTGCTGCCGCCTAGGGTAGGCAGAATCCTCCCGGTGGCCATCCCAGCCTCCTCGGAGCTCCGCAACTTGGAAATCTCTTCCGTAGTCGAGGGGGCGGGCGCTGCCTCCGGAAAGCGCCAACGGGGCCTCCGTAAGAGTTGCGGGGAGAAGCGGGAGCCGCGGGAGGGCGACCCGGCTCGGAAGGACCCCTCCAGGCCCCAGCCCCGCACTCCCGCCCCTCCCCGTCTTCCCAGGGGCTCCGCCGACTCTTTGTTAACTGAGGCCGCGGCTCCCCGGCTTTGGCTAGGCCCCGCAGTTTCCGCCAGGGCGACCAAGGCGTCGCGGCCCCGCGTCCAGACCCACCTCGCACGAAACTGCTGCGGCTGCGGCGGCAACTACTCCCGCCGACGCGGAATCTCACGTCCCGAAGTACGCGCGGTCCAGGCCGCGTCCCGCCGCGCTCCTCCTTCTCCGCCCCTTTCGCCGGCGCTCCTCGACCCGTTGCCGACTGGGGGAGGGGATATACACGCCGGACATGCGCAGTGCAGAGGGCGGGCAGAAGGGCGGGGCCTGGGTCTGCGGTTCCCGGAAAGCGCCGCGGGCTCCGGGCCTTAATGCTCCAGGAGAACGCTTCGCAGACCTCTCAGAACGCTCTGCCGGGCTCTGCTGCTGGGTCAGGGGTGTCCATTGCCTGTAGAGGAAATGGGCCTAGGAGGGGAAGAAAGAATGACAATGACGAGGATCCGCCCGAAAATTCCAAGAAAAGGGGACTTGGGTGGGAACCGCATATACACAAAATTGTCGATGTCCCCTAAACGCTGGCCTTTTGCAAATACGACCCGGGCAACATTTCGCCGCGTGCCTCTGGCCGCGTGGTTCCACAGAGCATGGCCACCTTTAGCTTCCGGAGCACCACTTCAGGGTGACGACAACTAGACTGAATCCCAGCGGAGAGGGATGGGATTAGCGTGAGCAGTTCCGGCCCAGGGGCCGAGATTATGTAATTTTCCCAGCAGCCCCAACCTCACCTCCGCTGGGCGTAGGTGCGTGAGGTCTCGCGCGGTCCCGGAAGCTGCGTCCCGCCCCTTCGCCACGCGCAGGCGCGGACGGGCCGCACGCAGTCGACGTAACGGACGGCGGAGGCTACGTGAAGAGTGGGGCGGCGTGAGTGAGCTGCCGGCTATTGCTGTGTCCTAGAGGCACCAGGGGCACTGAAACCGCGGTGACCGCGCAGGCGGCGGCCTGGCCGAGCGGCCCGTGGGGTAGAGGTGGCAGACGCAGGAGCTCTGAGCCGGCTTCTAGCCCCCGGTACAGGTAGGAAGCGGGCCATGGCGTGTTCGTCGGTGGGGCCCGGGCCAGTCCCAAGTGGTCACTTTTGAGTTGCGTGGCCTAGCCCGGTCCCATTTCCCACCAACCCCCTTAGTCAGGCCTGTGGTGACATGCGTCGGTCCCCGCCGCTCCTTCTCGCTTCTCCCGACTTTCTTAAACCAAAGAAGCAAACATAGCCCGCTCCAAGGCCCGTTTTCTGTTGGTCTTCGGGATTGGGGTGATTTTGAATGGTTTTGAGGAACTTCCCCACCGATCTGTGAGCAAATGCCAACCAGAAGCGCAAAGTTAGAGGAAGATTACGGTATGTAGCAGGAAGAATGGGGTACATGTTAGGATGAATTAATTCTCCATAGTGGGGAATAGAGCCTGGTGGTTTGACAGAAGCAACCACCTCTGACTAGTCTTCTCTGAAGGGTTCTAACACAAAACGCGTTTTCATTCAACGTGTGCGTGACTTCCAGAAGTTCCGTAGTCTGGCCACTGTCAAAGGCCTAATCCAAAATGTCAACAAGTAATGATTCTTCCACTTATTCTCCTCTGGTTTTGTAAGTTCAGATCCAGTGAGGCTGCCGAGTGAGCTTGCAGAAGCTAATCAAACCAGACTTGTTAGTGTTTGTGTTCCCTGCCCCAGGAGTCTCATTCTGGCCTGGCAGAGAATTGTGCATTTTAGAATGAATTGACAGGTCAAGCAGGGAGACTTCTGAGAGGGAAGGCCAAGGCACAAATGGCGTGGGTAATTTTAACCTAAATCCTTCCGGGCCCTGGAAGGATCTATGTTACAGTGCTGAGTTATCGTAGAAATGCTTCTATGGTGTGAACATCCTAAGGGGAAATCCAGCTTGAAATGATCAGACCTTTTGGCAGGCAATTGACTGTGTCAGTATTAAGTTTTATTTGCTTCTATTTGAAAAAGTTTAAACCAGATCTGAAAAAGGAAACATTAAAAGTGAAGTTTTGAAATCTTTTTTTAAAAATATATTTTTATTGGTTTTGTACAGAGAGGAAGGGAGAGAGATAGAGAGCTAGAAACATCGATGAGAGTCATCGATTAAGTTTTGAAATCTTAAAGGGTGTTCATAAGGCACAGGGGAAGGAAGCAATGGGACCTGATATTTATTACGTACCTTCTATGGGCCAGGCACACGTCTGTACCGCCCACACTACAGCCCTATGATGCAATGGTATCTCTTTTTTTTGTAAGTGGGGAGCAGGAAATTTTAAGTAATTAACCCAAGATCATATGGTTGGCAAATGGTAGAGCTGACATGAAACCAAATCTACACCAAAGTGCTTGCTATTTTTCATATATCTTCTATTTTGACTATAATAGATTATTAAAGGAAGGTAGGGATGTTTGGAGACACATCACAAACTTTTTTGAGTTTAGTGTTGAGAAGACAGCTATATTTTCCTATAAAATGTTCCAAGATGCTAACTTCAAAGATCAGTTATTGGAAAGGATATACTGTGTGGTATTTCTCAAATCACTTGTGTCTTTAAAAATTTATGAACTTTGTCCAGTTAAAGGAATATTTCTTGAGTAGCCATGGATTGCGAAGTATTGGGCAATAACCTTTGATATTGAGCTAATTCTTTTAAGAATTTATGGTATTGTAAATATGAGATATAGAATATTCACTATTCCAGAGCATCTTGAAAGAGGAGTACCTACTCCCTTGTGCCACTTGCTCACCTCCATTAATACCAAACTTCCTGCATTCTTGCTTCCATCCTTACCACTTACCTGCAGTTGCCAAAAATGATTTCCTTATTAACATTTGGAGCCCTAGTGGTTTTCGCTCAGTGGATAGAGTGTCAGCCTGTGAAAGGGTCCTGGGTTCTTCAAGCCTTGGGTTCAGGCTCCTCCCTGGCCGGGGCCCTGGTTGGGGCTTGTGCAATCAATGTGTTTCTCTAACATCAATGTTTCTCTCTGTCTTACCCTCTCTCTGGGGGGAAAAAAAAATTGAAGGAAAAATATCCTTGGGTGAGGGTTCCCCCCCTCCAAATTTTTTGGCTCATATCTTGAATTTTCTGCAGCCATTAAAAAAGCTCTGTTTCTTTAGAAATGTGCTTCTCCTTTGACTTCTATAATGCCACTTAAAAAAAAAAAATATATATATATATATATATATATATATATATATATATATATATATTAGTGATTTTAGAGAGGAAGGGAAAGAGATAGAAACATCAATGATTAGAAAGTATCATTAATTATGCCGAAACCGGTTTGGCTCAATGGATAGAGCATCAGCTTGGGGACTGAAAGGTCCCGGGTTCGATTCCGGTCAAGGGCATGTACCTTGGTTGTGGGCATATCCCCAGTAGGGGGTGTGCAAGAGGCAGCTGATTGATGACTCTCTCATTGATGTTTCTAACTATCTCTCTCCCTTCCTCTCTGTACAAAATCAATAAAAATATATGAAAAAAATAAGAATCATTAATTAACTGTCTCCTACATGCCCCACACTGGGGATCGAGCCCACAACGCAGGCTCGATCAAAAGTTAAGCAATTCCTGCAGAATAATATAAGAACTCTGGCTTTTACTGCTTTTCATAAAATGATTCTATGATATCTAAATAAATATACCTTCACTGAACATACTACCATGTCAGATATTAAGCCAAGAGAATAAAACATGACTTCCAAATAACTGTAAATTTGCACAAGAATTCAAATTTGCCCTGATCAGGAGTCAACTGTGACTTGGTTCATAGGTCAGTGGTCAACCACTGAGCCATGCTGGTCAGGCAATGCTGATAAGTCTTAAATCTGTCAAATCTGGCCCTAACGGGTTTAGCTCAGTGGATAGAGCATGGACCTGTGGACTCAAGGGTCCCAGGTTTGATTTTAGTAGGGGTTGGGCAGGAGGCAGCTGATCGATGTTTCTCTCTCATTGATGTTTCTAATTCTATCCTTCTCCCCTCTCTGTAAAAAGCAATAAAATACATATTTTTAAAAAATCTGTCAAATCTGTTTTCCTATTCATTTCCAATACCACTGCCAGTTCAGTCGTGTGTGTTTTCTTTAAAAAAAATTTTTTTTTATTGATTTCAGAGAGGAAGGGAGAGGGAAAGAGAGATAAGAAACATCAGTGATGAGAAAGAACGATCCATCAGCTGCCTTCTATGTGCCCCCCACTGGGGGTCAGATCCACAATCCGGGCATGTGCCCTTGACCGGAATCAAACCTGGGACCCTTCAGTCCACAGGCCAATGCTCCATCCACTGAACCAAACCAGCTAGGGCTGTTTTTTTTCCTTATATAATTGTTTCAACCACTTAATCTTTCCTGCTTCAGGTGCCCTTTTCCAATTCACCCTGTGTATGAGCTGTCAAGAGTTGAATTGCAAATCTGATAGTGTCATTCTCCTACTTAAATCCTTTAGTTGATTCTAATTATCCAAACTTATTAGTGTGGTATTTAAGTAAAGATCATTATGATCTGGTCCCTGTTGGCCTTTCCAGCCTCATTTCCCCCTTGAATCGATAATCCCAGCATCATATCAAACTCCTACAATATGTTATTTTAGCCTTTATGCTAAAGTAGTCTTCCATTTGCAGTGCCTCCTTCTTGCATGCAGAAACCATGCTTTTAATTTTTTTAAAAAAATATATATATTTTTTTAAATATATTTTATTGATTTTATACAGAGAGGAAGGGAGAGAGATAGAGAGTTAGAAACATCGATGAGAGAGAGTCATCGATCAGCTGCCTCTTGCACACCCCCCACTGGGGATATGCCCGCAACAAAGGTACATGCCTTTGACCGGAATCGAACCCGGGACCTTTCAGTCCCCAAGCCGACGCTCTATCCATTGAGCCAAACCGGTCCCGGCTTTTTAAAAATATATTTTTATTGATTTTTTACAGAGAGGAAGGGAGAGAGCTAGAGAGCTAGAAACATCGATGAGAGAGAAACATCCACCAGCTGCCTCTTGCATACCCCCTACCGGGGATGTGCCTGCAACCAAGGTACATGCCCCTGACCGGAATTGAACCCGGGACCTTTCAGTCCGCAAATCAACGCTCTACCACTGAGCCAAACCGGTTTCGGCCATGCTTTTAATTTTTTAAAGAACCTTTTCTTTTTATTACAAAAGCACAAAGGAAAATTAGAAAACATAAAAATAAGGCAAAATACCCATAATCCTACCATACAAAGTAATTATTATTTATGTGTAGATGTATATACATCCTTCCAATCTGTTTTGTTTACACATATTTGCTTCTAAAATAATATGGATTCTAACTTCATTTGTAACAATTTTCAATGGACAGAAAGTAAATTTGCTTTTTGTATGTACCTATTGTTTAACCAAACAATTTCAAATTTTCTACTATTATAAGTAATACTGTAACACATATCCTTGAAACTGAATTCTTGTGCCAAGTTACAGTTATTTGGAAGTCATGTTTTACTCTCTTGGCTTAATATCTGACATGGTAGTACACATGTGTCAAACACAAGGCCCGCGGGCCAAATCCGTCTTGCCAGGTCTTGCAATGTGGCCCGCACCGCGCTGTCATCACTGCACTCCGCTGCGTTTCCATCACAATGACAGTTTATGACTGTTCAGTAAACCATTCGGCCCACGATTTAGGCTGGATTTTAGATTTTGGCCCCTTCTCTGATTGAGTTCGACACCCCTATGTAGTATGTTCAGTGAAGGTATATTTATTTAGATATCATAGAATCATTTTATAAAAAGCAATAAATACCAGAGTTCTTATATTATTCTGCAGGAATTGCTTAGCATTTGATGGTTATTGAATCCTTATGTAGCAAAAGTTGCATTTTAGAAAAATGGCCATGACTTTTAGGGAGAGTTTAGACTAGAGAGACCATTTAGGAAAATACTGTGGTTCTTTAGTAGGTGGTGATAGTTTAGATTATGGTGGCTTTGGGAATCAAATGAAATGCCAGGATTTGGTGGCTGATTAGATTTCAAAGGGAAAAGAAAGTGAGAAATTAGATATCTTGCTTTTTTTTCAACAAGTAAGATTGGGGAAATGAGGTTAATATAAAAATAGAGATATTCGGGTACATGTTGATTTTAAGACAGTTGTAGAAGAGGGATCTGTAGACTGAGAGGTGGACTATTTTTGTACAGCCTGTGAACGAAGAGTGGTTTTTCCCATTTTAAAGGATTTTACAAACTTTTTATTTTGTGTTTCAGGTGCATAGCATAGTGGTTAGACAATCATATACTTTACAAAGTGGTCCCTAATGTTTCAGGTACCCACCTGGCCCCATATGTAGTTATTACAATACTAGAGGCCCAGTGCACGAATTCGTGCATGAGTGGGGTCCCTTGGCCTGGCTGGAGATCACCCAGTCCCAATTGAGGCTGATGGGGGCTGGCTGGCCAAGGAAGGACCACGGGAGAGTCCAGAGTGTGTCCGGCCCTCTCGTCCAGTCCCAATTACCAGACCCCAGCAGCAAGCAAACCTACTGGCTGGAGCGTCTGCCCCCTGGTGGTCAGTGTGTATCACAGCAACTGGTCGAGCGGTGGGCCAAAAGTTCCACTCATCAGTCAGACACTTAGCATGTTATGCTTTTATTATATAGGATTATTGACTATATTCCCTATGCTGTACTTTACATCGCCATGACTATTTTTGTGACTACCAATTTGTAGTTCTTAATCCCTTCACTTTTTCCCTCAGGCCCAACTCCCAACCTCCCCTTATACCTCTCCCATCCCCACTCCCACCTCTGGCAACTAAGTCTGTTCTCAGAATCTAGGAGTCTGTTTCTATTTTGTTTGTTCATTTATTTTGCTCATGTATTGTTTTCATTACCACCAACAGATAGGTAGTTATATCTCTTATATCCCTCCCCAGTTCCAATAAAGTTTTTCAAAAAATGCTTACTGAATGCACAGTGTAAATGGAAACCAACCTAAAGATTTTACAGCTAATTAGTGACAGAATCCAGATGAAAACCTAGGTCTCTTTACCCCCACCTCGTTTTTTTGTGATGCTTTCTAAAATGAATAACATTAAGTAAGAGAAAAGTAGGAGAGTGTCATAGATATTGTATATCTTTTTTTTTTTTTTTTTTTTTTATATTTTATTGATTTATTCACAGAGAGGAAGAGAGAGGGATAGAGTTAGAAACATCGATGAGAGAGAATCATCGATCAGTTGCCTCTTGCACACCCCCTACTGGGGATGTGCCCGCAACCAGGTACATGCCCTTGCCCGGAATCGAACCCGGGACCCTTCAGTCCGCAGGCCGACGCTCTATCCACTGAGCCAAACCGGTCCCGGCAGATATTGTATATCTTTTAATTGTTTCCAAATTTGATCAGTGTAAAGAGTAGCAGTCCATTTAGGTTTTGTGTGTTTTTTTTAAGGTGCCATGAAAGTCTTCCTTGCTTTCTGTGTTGTCCTTTTGGTGTTCGGAAGTGTCTCTGAAGCTAAGTTTGATGATTTTGAGGATGAGGAAGACATAGTAGAATATGATGATAATGATTTTGCTGAATTTGAAGATGTCACAGAAGATTCTGTTACTGAATCTCCTCAACGGGTGATTACCACTGAAGATGATGAAGATGAGACTACTGTAGAGTTAGAAGGGCAGGATGAGAACCAAGAAGGAGATTTTGAAGATACCGATACCCAGGTGAGATTTTAATGATTTTTCAGGAAATTGGAAGGATGGGAACATTTTTAATTAGCACTTTTCCTAGACTTTAAAAGTAAGACCCAGATCTAGGGAGACTTTTACTCTCTGGTATCTTCATTTTTGTTTAGTAGGTGGAGTTCTTCTAAATGTTTTGTGGTGTTTTCTCACCTTTCACATTGATGGGAGAATAAATTGTCTTTCTCCTCTTTGGAAAGCCTGGGGTGGAGAATGGGTTCTATGTGTGGGCGGGAATTATATCATTTAGAACTCAGGGTTCAAAAGCATGGGGAGTCACTTGTTAAAAACATGCAGTATCTCTGTGTTCTGTGCTTGTTGCTAACATGTTCTATTTTCCTCTACAATTGTTGCCTACAAAAAAAGAGATAAAGTTGCTGGCGACATTTGTAGGGAAAAACAGATTGCTGCCTCATTTTTGTAGGAGGGAGATACCGAGGGTGAGCCATATGATGATGAAGAATTTGAAGGTTATGAAGACAAACCAGATACTTCTTCTGGCAAAAATAAAGACCCAATAACAATTGTTGATGTAAGTATACAGGATTCTAAATTCCAAACTACCAACAAAATATCTTACTGTTATTAATCCCAGAAATATAATTAGTGACATGTAGCTGGTGTTGATTTAATTGTTGTAGCTATGAAAGAGTTTGACATCAATTCTTCTGATAGAACTCCACACCTGTAGAAGCAATCCCTGTGTTTTTGTTCTAGTCCTCGTAGTTTTATTAAGGAATGATGAAGATGATAGCCATTGGATTTATTTTGGGTTCAGACCAGAATCAAGTTTAATACAAAGGGCTTTCCATCCTTTGATCCCACTTGACTTCACATTTCCTTAAAGAGTCTTTTACAAAGCCAGCCTGGGAAATCAAAATGGGCATATTTTTCAAAGTATAATCATATTTAGTGTCAGTATCTAAAGTATCCCTTCTGTTTATGGGTCTTCTCATTGTCCTTCATTCGATGAGTTAGTATCCATCCTTTAGCTTCAACTAACATTAAATAGAATAATTGTTTTTCTTTAGGTTCCTGCACACCTCCAAAACAGTTGGGAGAGTTATTATCTAGAAATTTTGATGGTGACTGGTCTGCTCGCCTACATCATGAACTATATCATCGGGAAGAATAAAAACAGTCGCCTTGCTCAGGCCTGGTTTAACTCTCATAGAGAGCTTTTGGAGAGTAACTTTACATTAGTAGGTAAGTTAGGCTAATAGAAGACCTGCTGTGGGCTTGGAAAACATCTAATAAGAACTGTTTATTCCCTTCAGTATAAGTACCTAACTGCTCTCGGGGAATGATGAAGAGGGTGCTTTTTTATTTTCTTTCCAGGGATCCCATTTTTGTTAGGTTTTATAATATATGCTGAATAATTTGTATTTATGAAATGATTTTCTCATCTGCCATTAACATTTGCTGAACAATTGTTTCAAAACATTTGGACAAGAGTCTGGCTGAAAGCGAGGAATTTTAACATTTAAAGTAGCTTGATAAATACTTTCAGTTCATCTTTTAGAAATTAGAATACCCTTGGGTTCTGGGCACTTGAGTTTTGGGTCCACTGCAGAGGGGTGTACACTGAAGTAATTAGAGAAGCCCTGCAGTTGTATATAAGGAGTAAGGTGGACTTGCACTTTCAGCCTCTGTTTGGCATTTAAACACTTTGTTTCCCTTTAATAGTAAGCATGCGCTAGCTACTTTGCATATATTGTTTCTTATTTAAACTGTAACAATACTGTCAGTTGGAAAGGTTCTTTTTCCCTAAAGAGGGGACTGAAATCCAGAAATGCTATTTTCTTGCAACCATATTAAACCTAGTCTACATGCTTTCAAATTCCATGCTCTCTCTGCTGTACCGTATTATTTCACCTGGACATTAGGAAAATAATAAGCCGCCTTTAATGCCTTCCACTTCCTCTCATGTTTTCATTTTGGTGTGTTAGTCTTGCTTTACCTTGTGAGGTTCAGCACTTCCTTTCATACACTTAATGAAATGAGAAAATGGTTGGAATTTTAGCTTTTTCTAGATCTAAAATACAGCTCTTTATACCACTATTATCATTTTGCTGTTGAAAAAGCAAACTTGGTCAAAGTTAACTCAGTCATGGTGAGTGTTAAATAGTTTGTAGTTATGGTATTTTTTTTTTATTCATTACATTGGGAGTATTTTTAACTTTGGGAGGAAACATTTAAACTGATTTTGCTCCATTTTTTTAACTGCTCTCAAGAAACTTGCAAGCTGTCTTAACTAACAAGTACTAGTAATGCTAGCATATGATTTTTTTTAAGGAGACAATAAGAGTTTTAAAAGTAAAAGGAACAATGCCCATCTGTTGTCATCCATGTTCAAAGGAGAGTTCTCTACAATCTCAAAGTATTGCCACCCTAAAACTCTAATCATGGGGTGAGGGTGGAGGAAGGAGTGTTGATTAGGCCTCACCGCTTTCAGGGAATCACATTAAGTGGTTTACTCCTAGGGGATGATGGGACAAACAAAGAAGCCACAAGTACGGGAAAGCTGAACCAGGAGAATGAGCATATCTACAACCTGTGGTGTTCTGGTCGAGTGTGCTGTGAGGGGATGCTTATCCAGCTCAGAGTAAGTAGGGAATTTCTGGTGCAATGTATGTCTTCCTTTTGGTTTTTTCCCAATCCTCTAAATTTAGTGTCTTCAAGACGGTCTAAAAGTCATCTACTAACTAGCAAATGCCAAGTATATTTGAAATATCTGATTCCATCTCCAGGGTCTCTCTAACTGGAGATTACAACTGTTCTCTTTTATTTTTCCAGTTCCTCAAGAGACAGGACTTACTGAACGTCCTGGCCCGTATGATGAGGCCAGCAAGTGATCAAGTGGTACGTATTCTTCTTGCTGTTTTTCACTATACAGATTGAATTCTTAATTCCTTAGAGCTTATTCCATTCATTGTTTAGATCCTGTTTGGAGTTATTGACAACTAATGTACTTTGTCAAAAAAATGGGCCCTTCTCTATTTGCACAGACCATTGTCCACTGAGCTCCTGGGGTTGAGGTGCATGTGATTAAGTCAGTTTACCTGGATAATGTCTCTTTTGATTAATAGCAAAGTCAGCTGATTAGGGACCTTCTGCTACATAACAGCGTCATGGGAGTGATATCCCACCATTTCACAAGTCCTGCTCACATTCAAGGGGAGGATGTACCTATACACCAGGGGAATCTTCAGGGCCATCTTAGAAATAGGCCTGTCACAGAACCTAACATGTGAGTTTTGTTGTTGTTATTCTTGTGTGTGTGTGTGTTTTTTTAATAGCAAATAAAAGTAACCATGAATGATGAAGACATGGATACGTATGTGTTTGCTATTGGTGCTCGGAAAGCCCTGGTACGACTGCAGAAAGAGATGCAGGATCTGGTACGTTGATTATTCCAACTCAAATATACATAGAAACTGTGCCTAATTATTACATAGATGTTCACCTTCAAAGCATAGCATAATTAACCACTTTGAAATAGGTTAATTTCAAATTACATATTCTCTTGAGAAGAAAATGTCTGCATAATAAAATGTCACATCTTACTTTCAATTACTTCTTCCTCTAGAGTGAGTTTTGTAGTGACAAACCTAAGTCTGGAGCAAAGTATGGACTGCCAGACTCCTTGGCCATCCTGTCAGAGATGGGAGAAGTCACAGAGGGAATGATGGATACCAAGGTAAGTGTAACAGAAGGGATATATTTGCAGATATTGGCATTTACAAGGTACTCTCCCTAAAAATCATGCTGTATGAGTTCATCATTTAAGACAGTGTATTGATTATGTATTCCTTTCCCCAAAATATTCTAATTCTTTCTTTAAGCAACAGATTAACTTGTCAAAAAAAAATGTATAGTGAAGAAGTTCTCTCTAAATCAAGAGCAAATTGTTCCTAGGATTGCTGATGATTTTCAGATATTTTTAGAAAGGACTACAACTTTAATCTTTATCACCATGTCATTTAGTCCATTATTTTACTTTCAATTAGTTTAAGAGAAGAGGGATGTATAGAGAGCCATTTTTTTTCCTATTGGTTGTATAATGGTAACAGCACATCTTAATATCATAAAAATGTAGGCTAGCTCAAAGACATTTATAAATGTAAGTTCAAGGTGATATGTTCATGTAGAATCTCTTGAAATTATTTTAGATTTTATCTCCACACTTTTATTCTTATTTAGAACATTACTTTGAGACATATTTTCAGCTGCTCAATAAGAATACTTAAGCATTGGTATTACTAAAGAAAAGGAACTAGTTTCATTATAGAGAAATTCCTTATCTTATTTAAATTTAATTTTTTAAAAGCTTTAGCCTTGCCCTAGCTGGTTTGGCTTAGTGCAATGAGCATCAGCCTGTGGACTGAATGGTCTGGTTTGACTCCAGTCAAGGGCACATGCCTTGGTTTTAGGCTCCATCCCTGGTTAGGGTGTTTGCTGGAAGCAGACAATCGATGTGTCTCTCTCACATCGATGTTTCTCTGTCTGTCTCCCCCCCCCCCTTCCATTCTAAGAAAAATAAAATAATTTTTTAAAAAAGCTTTAGCCTTAATGACATTGTACAATAATGAGGACTGACAAGTAAATATCTTTTTAATATATATATGTGTATATATATATATATATATATATATATATATATATATATATATATATATATGTGTGATATATATATGTATATATATATATATATATATATATATATATATATATATTTAATTGATTTCAGAGAGAAAGGGAGAGGGAGAGGGAGAAACACCAATGATGAGAGAGAATCATTGATCAGCTGCCTCCTGCATGCCCCCTACTGGGGGTCCAGCCCGCAACCCAGGTATGTGCTCTTGGCCAGAATTGAACCTGGGACCCCTCAGTCCGCAGGCCAATGCTCTACCCACTGAGCCAAACCAGCCAGGGCAAGAGTAAATATCTTTATGAAAAAAAGGAAGTACATTAAACCCTACTTTAAATAATTTTCTCTATTTCAGATGGTCCACTTTCTTACACACTACGCTGACAAGATTGAATCTGTTCATTTTTCAGACCAGTTCTCGGGTCCAAAAATTATGCAAGAGTACGTATGAAATAAAAATACTGAATATGATTTTCTTCTTTAGCTTTCTGTGTTAAAACACCTGCAAGATGCTTCAATTTCCTTTGCCATATGAGTGAGGGAAGTTCATGACTCCCAAGTTTCCTTCTGCTTTGACTGCATGCATCAGGAAGGTGGTTGGAAACCTATGGGAGATAAACAAGCCTCCCGGTTTGCATGTGTCGCTGCATGTGTGCACCATGCACTCAGTGACGTGGAAGAGAATCTTATAAAATGGCTCATATAAGAGAATACAGTTTCTAATCTCTGTCCTTCATAGTATATGTCCTTTTCCCCCCCTTTTTAAATTTGATATGAATCTATAATGTCTGATTGCAAATCTGGCCTTTTCTGGCTTCTGTCTTTGTATAGTGGATGCTTATATTTTTTCCGAGTGTAGGTATTATCAAACATGTTCAATACCCGAAGTAATACTTATAGTAATGTATTTCAAATGTACGTATTCAGGGCTTGAATTTGTTGTTTGAATTCCGATTTGTTGTTGTATGTTCCCATTTCAGGAGAACATACTTATTTGAGTTCACCCTTGGTGTAGAAATGGTTCTGGCCTAAATTTTTGATTAAGGGCTACTCTCTCATAGGCTGTGGAATTGAGTACAATTAAAAGCCATTCTGGATTTTCATTGTGTGTCAGAATTACTCAGGTCCTTCTGCCTTTAGATGGTGTTGCATCGTCCTTGCCCTGCTTAACTCAATATCAACACCATGGGCAAAGTACCACATTATGGTAACTGGAGCCTTTTGGGGTGGGGGAGAAGCGAGTTAATAAAGATTACAAGGGAATCTTTGGTGAATCGGAACTAAATTATATGTGCTATAGTTGATTACTTCTAAATTTATTCTAAGCTTGGCTCAAAAATAAGATACTTCATTATAGGAAGGAAGATAAAATAGGAGTTGGAAATAGAACATAGAAACTCATCAAAATAAGCAGAAATGTTATTTAAAATATGGGCCTCTTACTTAAATATAGGCTTATTTCTTCCCCAGGTGAGATGGAATATATCTTGGAGGTATTCAAATAGAAAGGTCACTTGGGAATGCATTCATCAGATAGGCAAGTGGGTCAGGCTCTGAGATTTTGACTTGGGGATGCCAACCCAGATACTGTGCTGACTAACTGTAGGTGTCTGTCCATCTAAGTGACCTGGGTAATTTACATGCACAGAGAATATCCTTCTAAATAGCCCTTTCTTCCACGGCAGGGAAGGTCAGCCTCTGAAGCTGCCTGAAACTAAGAGGACTCTACTGTTTACATTTAATGGTACGTATTCCATGTCTTGCTGGGTTCTTTGTTTTCCGAGAGATGATCTTAAGGAGAGTATTGTTCCATCCTAAGTGACAGCTATAAAAAAATATATTAACTCTACCTGGTTTGGCTCAGTGGATTGAGCGTCAGCCTGCGGACTGAAGGGTCCCAGGTTTGGGTACCTGCCTGGGTTGTGGGCTTGATGCCCAGTGGGGGGCATGCAGGAGGCGGCCAATCAACAATTCTCTCTCATCAATGTTTCTCTCTCCCTGCTTCTCTGAAATCAATAAAAATACATTAAAAAACAAATTATATTAAAACAAACCCCATGCCTGCTTTTTGCTGTTGTGTTTCTTCAATAAGAGATCCTTGTATATATATATATTTTTAAACGTTTCCTTTTTTTTTTTTTTTTAATATTTTTATTGATTTTTTTAGAGAAGAAGGGAAAGGGATAGAGAGCTAGAAACATCGATGAGAGAGAAACATCGACCAGTTGCCTCTTCCACACCTCCTCGCCACTGGGGATGTGCTGGCAACCAAGCTATATGCCCTTGACCGGAATCGAACCTGGGACCTTTCAGTCCGCAGGCCGACACTCTATCCACTGAGCCAAACCGGTTTCGGCAGGTTCTTGTATATATTTTAATTTTTTATTTTCTGTTGCATTTTAGCTGCCTAAGAAACATGAAGAGTTTATTAATAAAAAATAAAGAGTGGGAGTTGGTGACTCAAATTATTAACCCTCTGTTAACTCGATAGGAAATGGCTTTGTTTTTCAGCGCCTGGTTCAGGCAACACTTACCCAAAGGATATGGAGGCTTTGCTGCCCCTGATGAACATGGTGATTTACTCTATTGACAAAGCTAAAAAGTTCCGACTCAACAGAGAAGTAAGACTTCAGCCTTTATTATAAGTTGGCACTTGTTATTTTTTTCTTCTGGGGGAATCATCTATCCAGGATTTCAGTGATTGTATCTTTGCTACTTTACTTGAAATTGCTAAATGGGATTAGTTTTATGAAAGAATACTAAATGGGCTTTTGCTTCTATTAGATTAAAATGGATTTCTTATGAAATTCTTTGTTTCTTGGGGAAAGGGCAAACAAAAAGCAGATAAGAACCGAGCTAGAGTGGAAGAGAAATTCTTGAAGTTGACACATGTGCAAAGACAGGAAGCTGCTCAGTCTCGGCGTGAGGAGAAGAAAAGAGCAGAGAAGGAGCGGATCATGAATGAGGAAGATCCTGAGAAACAGCGCAGACTCGAGGTAAAAATGACATAATCTGCCCTAACCAGTTTGGCTCAGTGGATAGAACACCAGCCTGCAGATTCAAGGGTCCCAGGTTTGATTCCAGTCAAGGGCATGTACCTTGGTTGTGGACACATCTCCAGGAGGGACAGGAGGCAGCTGTTCAATTTTTCTCTCTCATAGATGTTTCTATCTATCTATCCCTCACACTTCCTCTCTGTAGAAAATCAATGAAATATATTTAAAAAAATATATTGCAGTCTTTCAAAGAATGTGTCTTTTTGTATTTGTGCTTTTTTTGTTTTGTTTTTTTTCTTTCCCAAGGAAAAGAATCCTGGGCAAGAGAGAAAATAAGATAGGCTGCTAATAAGTTGTACCAATTTATACTTTTTTTTTTTACTAGTATATGATATGAGAGCTCCTCTTTATTCATATCTTTATGACTAGTTCTGTTTTTAAATTTTTATTTTAAAATTATTTGTATATTTTTTAATCCTCATCTCAGGATGTTTTTACTGATTTTAAAGAGAGATAGAGGGAGAGATAGATATTAATCAGTTGCCTCTGGTATGTGCCCCAACCAGATCAAACCCAAGTTGGAGCATCTTCCTGATAAGCCAGGGTTGCAGGTTCAGTCCCAGTCAGGGCACATATAGGAACCAACCAATGAGTGCATAAATTAGTAGAAAGAGCAAATTGCTATTTCTCTCTCTCTCTCTCAGATCAATTTTTAAAAGATCTTATGCTTTTCTGAAGTACAAATTTTTGGTAAATTTATATAATTGTTAGGTTGAAAATTGACCTAGTGTTTCCTGGGTATAGGAAAAATCAGACCAGACTTAACAAAGCCAACTTACAGTATTTAGCTTCTGATTTGAGATGGTAGTTACCTTTGCTTCATTTCAGGTTAATTTTTGTTAACCAATGTAGATATTAGCACTTTTTATAATTATCTTCTGGAATGTTATTTATGGTGTAAGTCTAGGTTTTTGAGTAATATTATAGGCAGTATTCTAGTTTTGATTTTTTAAAAATCTGTGCTTCGAGCTTAGTTTGGATTATTTCTGTCTGTCTCTCTAGGAAGCTGCCTTGAGACGTGAGCAGAAGAAACTGGAAAAGAAGCAAATGAAAATGAAACAAATCAAGGTGAAAGCCATGTAAAGCCATCCCAGGGATCTGAGTCCTGATGCCACCTATCAGCTCTGAATTCACAGGAGACATAAAAAATACCAGTCCATTTCTCATCTGAAAGTTCAAACACTCCAAGTGACTGACATTCTTATTTCATCATCTGTTCTGTTTTTGGTTTGGAGTTTTACAGAAGTTAGAAATACATTGGAAGGACTGTTTCAGTAATTTTCTTCCAGATAATGACATTATTTTGATTATTTTACAAAAGGAATGATATATGAACTATGTAGTTTTAAAATTCTTTTAAAATTATAACATGAATCATCAGTGCTTTTAGTGCTATTATAATTTGAAGAAATATCATGAGTTTATAGATAAACAATTAGATTGTTGCTTTTTGTTTAAATTGGACAGTTGAAATGGCTATAAAGAATGACCCTAAACCAAGATTCCACAAATAACAATAAACACTGCTTGTTTTCTTCTGTGTCTACATCAAACTTGTAAAAAAATAAAACTTAGAACACTATCTGTGGTGTTGAAATTTCAGGGACTCAAAACAGTGTAGTTCACTGTATGTTTTGTAGGTAGAGAGGGTGCTGATGACAGTATTATAGCATATCTGTAGATGTTAGGGTACTGACATGTACTGGAAAATTCTACAGATAGGTAGTACAGGAGCAGTTTTCTTCTTACCTGATACCATAAGCTAATGACATTGTGAATGCTGTATTTTAAATGTTGTAGGTTTTCTTGAGTTAAATGCATGAAGTTACCTGCTTCACTTAGAGCAGATGAGTGGTCTATGTGAAGTCACAGACGTTTTCCTTCTTGGTTGCCTCACCTTATTGGATGTTCATGGAGAAGTTCTCTGTGTTGTGGCTGTGTCCCTTTGCTTCTCCTGCTTTTATCTCTTCCACAGCTGAGGCTGGGTATATTCTTTTAGAGAAATAGCCATGAATATGTATAAATACACTTTTAAAAATCAGCTTTCCTAATTGATTGAGAGTTCTGCTTCATGAGCATGGGTGGGGAACCTTTTTTTCTGCCAAGGGCCATTTGGATATTTATAACATTCTTGGGCCATACAAAATTATCATGTTGCCCTAGCTAGTTTGGCTCAGTGGATAGAGCATTGGCCTGTGTACTGACGGGTCCCAGGTTCGATTTCAGTCAGAGACACATGCCTGAGTTCCAGTAGGGGTTATGTAGCAGGAGGTAGCTGATCAATGCTTCTCATCATTGATGTTTCTATCTCTCTCCCTCTCTAAAATCAATAAAAATACATATTTTTAAAAATTTATCGTGCTATGTTTGGTCAGACATTTAATTAACTCATCCCTAATGCCTGGCAGGGCCAGACCAAATGATTTCATGGGCCTTATATAACCCTCGGGCCAGACGATCCCCACCCCTGCTCTGAGAAAGGAACTCCTGGGGGAGAGGCCCATTCATCTGCACAAGCATTTAGCTTGTTCAGATTTCTGCATTTTATAAATGCTTCCTAGTAAGAAAGCATTTTTTTTTAAGTCACTGCTTTACCAGATAATTTTTGCTGGGGATGGGAAAGGGTTGGGTTTTTGGTGGGAGAGGGGTGGGCGGGTATTTTGTTGCTGATGCTTTATGTGCAGGTGTGTTCTGAGGCAATAAGTTGCTGTGGAAACAGAATGTGCTGCTGCCTTTGAAACTGCATGGAAACTTTTCACATGGGTTTTTCTCTTAGTTAATGCAGAAATGCGTCAGCTGGGGGGTGCAAATGTAATTTTTTAAAACAGTTTGTGAAATTAAGTTATTAAAATAACAAAACAATACTATATAATCAAGAATTAGTCTTGTTTTACAAACCTTTAAAATACATTTTAGAAATCAAAATTGATATGCTTAGCTATCTTTAATAAAAGCTTTCTTAAAGTCCCACACATTTGGGCCATGGCAGCTAATTTTGTAATTTAAGCATTCATATGAATGGTAATCTATGGACATATATTAAACTCATTGACAAAAATCTCAGAGTGCCGCCTTTACTTTTCTTGGGTTTCTCTCCAACAGTATAAGCCCATAGGAATGTTTTTTCTGTTCAATAAAAATCACTTAAATGCTTTTCCTTTGAAAGAGTTGGCCTTGACAACTATCCGTTAATTGTTGCCAGTTTTTAAAATATTTCTGTTTTTAGAGCTCCATCTGTTATTGATAGGCTTCTCCCTGAAGTTGTCCCCCCCTTGAGTTAGAGGACACGGTAGGAATCAGGACAGAAAGAAGTGAATGTTGTTAACTGTCACACATTGGAAAACCACTAAGCTCTCCAACATTGTCTATACTGCCTGGGCACTTAGCAACGCTGAAACAAATGCTGGACTGGGAAATAAAACCTGGGTTTTAGTGCCAACAAAACCAGTAACAAATCCTTTGACTTAAGGCAGTGGTCTGCAAACTCATTAATCAACAGAATCAAATATCAACAGTACGACTATTGAAATTTCTTTTGAGAGTCAAATTTTTTAAACTTAAACTTAAACTTCTTCTAATGCCACTTCAAAATAGACTCGCCCAGGCTGTGGTATTTTGTGGACGAGCCATACTCAAGGGGCCAAAGAGCCGAATGTGACTTGCGAGCTGCAGTTTGCCGTCCAGACAGGGCAAATCCTTAACCTCTTTGAGTCTCTGTTCTGTTCTTCCTTCTATAATACAAAGTAAGGATAGTGTAATTATTTTCTCTATCTACTTGGCAGGTGTATCAACACCAAGACAGAGTACCTGTAAAATTCTCTTCTAAACGATAGCATTGTAAAAGTGTTAGGGGTGTGCCCCAGCCAGGTGCTCGGTCGGAGTGTAGTTTCATACACTCAAAGGTTATGGGTTCAATCCCCAGGCATGGCACATACTTAGGCTTCGGGTTTGATCCCCAGTAATGGAGCGAACAGGAGGCAACTAGTGGATGCTTTTCTCTCTTTCAAAAATCAATAAAACGCCGAGACTGGTTTGGCTCAATGGATAGAGCGTCGGCTTGGGGACTGACGGGTCCCGGGTTCGATTCTGGTCAAGGGCATGTACCTTGGTTGCGGGCATATCCCCAGTAGGGGGTGTGCAAGAGGCAGCTGATCGATGACTCTCATCGATGTTTCTAAACTCTATCTCTCTCCCTTCCTCTCTGTACAAAATCAATAAAATATATTAAAAAAAATCAATAAAACAAAATAATCAATACAACATACCCTCAAGTGAGGATTTTCAAAAAAATGTTAGTGGCGCTCTTGCTCTCCCTCTTCAAAGCAGACAGCACCTTTCCCATTCCCCTCTTCTTCCCCCAGGTGTGTTACCTTCTTTCCCCGGAGCTTCAAAGGTTCTTTGCTTCTGTAATTTGTTTCCTGAGCCTGCCCAGCCCAACTGGCTCACGTCTATGTTTGTAACTTTCTAAAAAAACTTCCTCTTATAATTAAAAAAAAAAATTAAATTAAAAAATTAAAATGTGCCGAAACCGGTTTGGCTCAATGGATGGAGCATCGGCCTGCGGACTCAAGGGTCCCCAGTTCAATTCTGGTAAAGGGCATGTACCTTTGTTGCGGGCACACCCCCAGTAGGGGGTGTGCAGGAGGCAGCTGATCGATGTTTCTGATTCTCTATCCTTCTCTCTTCCTCTCTGTAAAAAAAATCAATAAAATATATATTTTAAAAAATTTTAAATGTGCCCTTGCCAGGTAGCTCAGTTGGGTAGAGCGATTGATACGCCACAGTTGGGGTTTGATCGGGGGTCAGGGCACATAAACGAATCAACCGGTGAATGCATAAATAAGTGGAACAACAAATCAATGTCTCTCCCCAACACCCCTCTCTCAAAAAAATAAATCACCTAGGACTATTTTCCAAGTGCATTTTTGGTTTACTCTCATGTTATTTCTCCTAATGGAAACCAAGCAGATTCTATCAGAGTTCTCTAACTTTGTTTGCAGTATTTGACAGTTTGTTTTTTTGTAGGGCAGGGCAATCGTTTATAATTTTGTTTCCTTAGTAGTAGAACCTTTTTCTGTCAAGCACCAAGATGTGAACCTCTTTCCTTTAGATGGGTCTTAGACCAAAGAAATACATTAGTATTCTCACTCCACTCACCCAGTAGAAATGGACAATGTGAAAATTATTTAGAGCAGTGTCTACAAGGATCTATTTTGTTGGGAAGGGTGAAATATGGTACTTTTTCCTGGATTCTCTCTCCTTTACTGTTCCTGCCTTCACTCATTTTGAATGATTTGAAAGGATGTAAGGGGGAAGACAATTATACCCATAGGAGTGGCTTCTATTACAGACTGCTAAAGCAATAGCAAAAAGGATTTAGTTTCTGGAGTTTGGTGAGTGATGGTCTCTCATCGATGTTTCTACCTCCCTCTCTAAAAATCAATAAAATATATCAAACTAAAAATTTTAAAATGAAAGGCATTCAAACCTTTTTGGTTTTTAGATATTTCCAAAAATATGTTTTTATTGATTTTAGATACAGAGGAAGGGAGAGGGATAGAGAGAGAAACTTTGATCAGCTGCCCCCTGTTCACTCCCTACTGGGGAGCAAGCCCGAATCCTTGCACCCTGACCGGAAATCGAACCGAGGACCTCTGGGTATATATATATCCAATTTTGGAAAAACCGTCCCCACCCTCCCTCGCAACTCAGTGGTTGGAGTAAGTCCCTGAAAGAACAAAACAGAACAAAAAACGCACTCACAAAAGGAAGGTTTGTTCCATCACATGAGATTGCTTCGTCATTTCTCAAGCCCTGCCTGCCTTGGCTGAGGCTAGCTTCCTCATCAAAGAAAACCTTACAGGTGTCTGCAAACAGTGTCTCTCTCAGGGCTGCAGATGAGGCAGGATCCAGGTGGGGGGAAAGATAAAGAAAGTAGTCCCATTAGTTGAGCTGTTTTCCTCCTTTTACAGATATGTAACCCTAAAGCACAGAAAGTGTGGATTTCACTTTTTCAACTTGTCAGCTTGTTACCCTAGAGGCCAAAGTGAGGGGGCATTTGCCATGTCTTTAAAAAAGTGTGCCCTCGCCCTAGCCGGTTTGGTTCAGTGGATAGAGCGCCGGCCTGCGGTCTGAAGGGTCCTGGGATCCCTTTCCGGCCAAAGCCACATGCCTAGGTTGCGGGCTGATCCCCAGTGGGGGGCGTGCAGGCGACAGCTCATCAATGATGTTTCTCTCTCTTCCTATTGAAATCAACAAAAATATTTTTTAAAAAGTGTGCCTTGGCGGGGTAGCTCATTTGGTCGGCGTGGTCCCCATAGGCAGGCTGCCGCTTCCATCCCGGGTCAGGTCACCTACAAGAATCAATTACTGAATGCGTCCAAGAGTGGAACAACCAATTGTTTCTTTCCTGCGCTTCCTCTCACCCTCCCCTTCTGTCTCTCTAAAGTGCAGGGCAGGTGATTCCACTGAAGTCCTATCACTGAAAAATAAAATTCCCAAAGTAGCCCAGTCAGCAGCTAGTGTTGGTTCGTCTCTCTCAGAGTGGTCCCCACAACTCTTCATGATTGAAATCACCCCCCTTCCTTCCCGCTGCGGCGGCACCAGGTTCTGGGGAGCCCTTGTCCGACCCCGCAGCCCTCACCGACAGGCTCGGTCTCGGTGGCTTTCACCCACCTGAACTAGGGTCCCTTCGGTTGGAGACGGAAAGCTCTCAGGCAGGTCTGCGCGGACTGAGATAACGCGCACGCCGGTGCCGGCAGGGGATGCACGAGCTAGAAGACCAGGGAACCAGGCGGAGCTTCCGACGCGCGTGGGCCAAGCGGACCGAGAGGAAGTGAGAGGGCGGAGCTTCTTCACCCGCGCGGGGCGAGGCGGGGCGGGGGCGGAGCTTCTTCACCCCGCGGGGGGCGGGGCCGAAGCTTCTTTACCTGAGCGGGGCGGAGCGGGGCGGGGCGGGGCGGGGGCGGAGCTTCTTCACCCGCGCGAGGCGGGGCGGGGCCAAGCGGAGTGGGGGACGTGAGGGGGCGGAGCTTCCCTACCCGTGCGGGGCGGGGCGGGGCGCTCAGCTTTCCCGGGGCCCCTCTACTGCGCATGGCACGTAGCGTCCGTCCCTCCCAGCAACCGGCCGGGCGGTGGCGAGGCCATAAACTAAGGAGGCGGAGCTGAGGCGCGATCGGACCGCTCGCCAACTCCAGGACCAGGTACCGGACTGGCGGGCCGCCTGGTGCGGTCCAGGGATTATCCGTCCATCCTCGCCCTGACTCCGATCCCACCTCCTCAGGGCGGGCCTCGGTCCGATCAGCTCTCCCGGGCCCCTCTCGCCGAGCCCAACTCCATTCCCTCCGTGAGCGGTTGCATCCCGAGAGCAGAATAGGCTTGGGCCTTGGCGGGGCGACACCGGAGCGGAGTCACCGGGCGGGAGAGGCGAGCGCCTGCTTTCCCGCCCCTGCTTGCCCCCTGACGTCCAGGTGGCGAACTTGGGGCCCAGGTTCAATGTGTCCTCCTGGAGCCCAGAGACAGCCGGCAGAGCCTAGTGCTTACCTCACCCGCCCCCTTTCTCGCATCCCCATCGCTCCCCAAGCTGGGGGAGACTGTGTGAGCACAGAGGTCCAGGTTAGCCCCTGACTGAGCCCAAACAAAGAGCTCCCGATGGTCTGGTTGTCCAAGCAGGTCTCTGTCCGCGGGAGATTGGGGTGGAGATGGCGGGGTGGGTGGGTGGGGTATGGGAAGTGAGTGCGAGGGAAGGGGCGTGGTTAACTGAAATAGTTCAAGTTTTCAGAAGATGGGCGACTAACTTCTCCGCCCAGCCTTCCGCCAACACATCCTAGCACATCCTCACTTTATCCCCCCCAAAGAGGAAAAGCAGCTCGAATGGGCCCCTTTCTTATCGAAACAGCTGTTGAACTAGAACCATCATCAAGTAGGTATGGGCGGCGTCAGGCAGGGCTTCATGGATGGGTTGATGAATTGAAGAGACCGAATCTTACCTGATTTCCTGTCTCAGGCCAGGAGCCTCCTCTGCCATGAGTGACGGGGCTGAGCTAGTTAAATCGGCTCCCCCACCCTTGGACCAGGTTTCTTAAGTGGTTTTGTGGCTCAAATGCTGTATGTATAGTTGTAACTGCCGACATAGAGGAAGTTTAGAAAACCAGTGCCAAAAATAGGGAAGGGGGCGGAATGAATAAGTGAATCCTCCTTGCTATATACCATTTGTCACCTGGGCATCAACACTCAAATCAGCTGATGCCTTCTCAATCATCATTATACCTTTACATTATACACAGTCTTGACAGGTCTCCCGGGCATCTCTTGACAGGTTCCTGGGGCGCAGGCATTGGAGAAGATCTAATCAGCCCTCTACCACTTGCCTGTGTGACTCTGGGTGTTGAACCTCTCTGAGCCTAAATTTCCAGATCTATAAAACAGGGAAGATAATACTGTGAGCTGATCTCTGCGGAGCTTTTAGCACAGATCCTGGCACACAGTAAGTTCCCCATAAATGTCTGCTGCTTTCATTCTTATTGTTATTGAAGTTAGCAGATAGGGGAGTGCCCATGTTATGTGTTGGGCACAGTAGCCCCTGGAAATGCAACAGTAAACAAGACTATTCCCTACCCTCAAGGAAATTAAGAGTGTGATAGGTGTAAGGGTTGAATACAGAGGCCAGCCTGGCCTGTGTGGCCCAGTGGGTGAGCATCGACCATGCACCTAAAGGTCTCTGGTTAGCCGAGACCGGTTTGGCTCAGTGGATAGAGCATCTGCCTGTGGACTGAAAGGTCCCAGGTTCGATTCTGGTCAAAGGGCATGTACCTTGGTTGCAGGCACATCCCCAGTAGGGGGTGTGCAAGAGGCAGCTGATTGGTGACTCTCTCTCATCGATGTTTCTAACTCTCTATCCCTCTCTCTTCCTCTCTGTAAAAAATCAATAATATATATATATTTTTTATTTATTTATTTTTATTTTTATTTTTTATTTTTATTTTTTTTAAAGAGTGGCAACAGATGCTATTTTAAAAAAAAAGGTCTCTGGTTAAAATCTCAATCAGGGCACATGCTTAGGTTTCTGGTTTGATCCCCTTTATGGGGCATGCAGGAGGCAGCTGATTGATGTTTTCATTTCTCCCTCTCCTTTCCTGTCTAAAATCAATCCTATATAATCCTATATAATAAAAGGCTAATATGCATATTGGCCCAATGGCAAAACAACTGGTGGCTGTGATGCACACTGACCACCAGAGGGCAGATGCTGAATGCAGGAGCTGCCTTCTGGTGGTCAGTGGGCTCACACCAGGAGCACCACTCAGCCAGAATCCAGGCTCATGGCTGGCAAGTGCAGTGGCAGTGGAAGGAGCCTCTCCTGCTTGCACAGCAGTGCTAAGGATGTCCAACTGCCAGTTGGGGAGTGGGCCTAAGTCATCAGTAGGACATCACCCAAGGGCTCCCTGACTGGGAGAGGGCGCTGGCTGGGCTGAGGGCCACCCCCCTCCAGTGCACAAATTTCGTGCACCAGGCCTCAGGTAAAAACATATTAAAAATACAGAAGTCAAACATTTACCATAGGTAGGGAGTTAGGGAGGACTTCCTGTAGCACCAGACAACTGAGAGGGACAGGTCTGGGGGGAGGAAGGTGATTCTGAAGGGAAAACAGGATGTTTCTTTCTTTAAAAAAAATATTTTTATTGATCTTAGAGAGGAAGGAAGAAGGAGAGAGAGAAACATCAATGATGAGAATAATTGATTGGCTGCCTCCTGCACATCCCACATTAGGGATCAAACTCACAACCTGGGCATATGCCCTGATCCAGAATCGAACTGTGATCTTCTGGTTCATAGGTCTATGCTCAATCACTGAGCCACACCAGCCAGGCAGAAAGCAGGATCTTAAAAGTTTTTCCTTTGGGCTCCATTTCCTCTCTGCCTTTCAAGTGCCGTGTCCTCACTATGGACCTTTCCCAAGGCTCTTCCCAGCCTTCAGCTTTTCTTTCACCATTTTCTCGGTTAGTGAATTCCTGTCACTTGTATATCTTTACCTCTTTTTTATTTTTATTTTATTGCTTTTTTTTTTTTAAGATTTTATCATTTTCTAATGGATAAAGCCATGTTTTATTTTTAATTTTTTAATTTTTTTTAATACATTTTATTGATTTTGTACAGAGAGGAAGGGAGAGAGATACAGAGTTAGAAACATCGATGAAGGAGAGTCATCCATCAGCTGCCTCCTGCACACCCCCTACTGGGGACGTGCCCGCAACCAAGGTACATGCCCCTGACCGGAATCGAACCCAGGACCCTTCAGTCCCCAAGCCGACGCTCTATCCATTGAGCCAAACCGGTTCCGGCTATCTTTACCTCTTAACTCCGAACTCCATGTAGCCATTTCTAATCTCCCTTTGAGCATCAGTTTTAACTTTTCTAACTCAATATATACATTTCCTCTTGGAATATATAACTTTTCTCAATTGAAATGTGATTTAAAAAGTTGAACTCATCTTTCCACCAAAACCACTTCCACCTCTGAGCTTTCCTGTTTTGTTATTGACACACTACTCTTCCCAGTTACTGGAGCTCACACACAAAAATCAGTCATCAGAGTTGTCCAAAGATAGGATGGGCTCCCGGATAAGGTGGTGAGTCTCTGGCCTGGGGTATTTTCAAGCAGAGGCTACATAATCTTATATACAGGAGTTGGTAAAAGCTATTCCTCCACAGGGTGCTCCAGTAATCTTTGTCTTTGCTGAACCCCATTTCTCCTTGTGCATCCCAGACCTCCTGATTTAAAATTTTTAAAGGTGGGCCAGGCATCCACAGGTTTTATTTGCTTTTTGTTAATCCTCACCTAAAGATATTTTTTCCGTTGACTTTAGATAGAGTCGATGGGAGGGAGAGAGAGAGAAACACCTATCTGCCCTAGCTGGGTTACTCAGTTGGTTGGAGCGTCACTCCAAAAGGTGGCAGGTCAATTTCCGGTTGGTTGGGCTTCATCCCATGCACCGAAAGTAAGGTTACTGGTTCGATTCCTGATCAAGGCGCATGCCTAGGTTGCACAGGCTTGATCCCCTGTAGGGGGTATGCAGGAGGCAACCAATATTTCGTTCTCACATTGATGTTTCTCTCTCTCTCTTGCCCTCTCCCTTCCTCTCTCTCTGTAAAAAAATTAATAAAAATATTTAAAATTTTTTAAAAATGATGATGTTAAACAGACACATGAATTGAAGATAATTACTTCTGGGAAGGATTTGGTGGGGATTGAGCCAAGACAAGTTTAAACATTAAAGAAGAAAACCATATAATAAATTTCTTTCTTATAGAGGTTGCAATATTTCAGATTGTACATCCAGGTTGTCACTGAAAGTGTCTCTAAGCAAATCTTTGGAATCTAGAAATTTATAGGTTTAGTACACTGCTTTGAATGGTAGATTTGCAGTAAGTTTTTATTCATCAAATGATATTTCTACAAAAGATTTGACTAACAACCTGTTTTTATTTTCCTTTTAGCTGTAAATTTTGAAATTGAAATAGGCCTACACATTAGGAACTCATGTCTTTTCTTGTAAGTAAACCAGAGCGAATTAGGGTGAGTGTTTCTATTCTTCTGTCTTTACTGTTTTTATTTTCTGGAAAGCAAAGTGTTTTGGCAGTACCGTAGGTGGTTTGTTATGTGACGTTCAGAATCATGCAGAAGTGAGGGGGTGGGAAGTAAAGCAGGTATTGCAGCCTCCGCTCCGGAGAAAAGAGCTTGCAGGCAGAGGCTGACCAGAGACACAGAACACACCCACCAGCTTGTCTGATAGAGAAGAAACAAAGTGGTGCATTTTGTGAATATCCGTCATTCAACATTAAATGAGTTGAAAGTGTAGGTAGGTAACCACTAACGATCTGCCCATTTCCTATGAATTTTCAGCGAGTTTGTTTGAAAAATCAGTATCAAATTGTAATCCTCGGAACACTTTTTTCTAAATACAATTATAGGTTTTAATTGAAATCTTTCTTAACATGAAACATTTTATTATACCTGAAAACTTCACCAGCTAAAATGACCTTGAGAATGAATGCTGGATTTAGTCTACAAGCTACCATGATTTCATAAAAGAGTATATTTTATTTTTTATCAAGTATTTAATTTCTGAAAGCAATAGTAATTATTTTAAAATCTTGCAACAATGTATAAATGCTATGATACATTATGAGTATATCACTTTCTTTAAATATTAAAGTGTTAGTTTATTTTTACTAAATATCTTGTGGCACAGTGCATGTGATTTTTTTATATCAAGTGTTTTTAATTGATAGTGTTGTTTTTTTTAATTAGGAAAAAACCCAATTTGGAGAAGGAGAATGATGTTATAGTTCCAAGTTATACTTCCTATTATGCAGCTTATTTCTGAATGTTGCTTAATCTTTTTCTTATGTTTATATATATAAGAACAATTTACATTGTAAAGAGTAAGTTTCACTGTCAGCTGAGAGGAAAAACAGATTCTCTCCAGTGGAAAGAATGTATCCAGGCCAAACTTTAACACCAGTCCTTATGTGAAATACAACCTTGATTCCATTGCTTTTAAATGTGAGCTTCTTTTCTATTTCAACCCAGTCTGATACAGGTGAAACCAGACCCCTGATGAGTATGTGGAAATCCAATACTTGGTTGAAATAGGCCAGTAAAGTGAACCATAGATTGGTCATGCTAGTCCCGTCCTTGTAAAGGGGTAGCAGTTGGTAGCAAATGTAAGCAGTGATGACTTTAGAGATCCTAATGGATGAAGGATACGCAGCTTGCAATTTTTTTCTACAAACTAATAGAGGCTTGTGGAAAACTTCTGTTTCATCCCTCTATTCTACATTGTGAGTTCTAGTAGTAATTTTCAAATTGGCACTCATGGTCCTGAGCATCTGTAATAGGGAGCCATGGGATGAGTAAGATGGATCCAAAAGGTTGTTTTACATAGAGAATGGAGAAAAACATTCTTCATTATTAGAGCCAGTACTGGGCTTTCCTCAATCTGACAGCTTTAAGAATGATTCATCAAATTATGCAAAGAGGAACAGAGAAAGGAATTCGTTTATTGTTTTCTGCTGTTAAAGCCAAGATTCTTTTCAAAACTTTTCCATAGAAATGTACCTTAACTGTAATGCATGATTGTGTTTTTGTAGTTGTGTTTTGTTTGTCTCTCTAACGGCTGATAGCTAATGTTCTGTGGTTTGGAAGAAATACTAATTCTCTTTGGGGTTTTCCTCTTTAGCGGTGGGTGTCGGAAAAGTTCATTGTTGAGGGCTTAAGAGATTTGGAACTATTTGGAGGTAAGTACAGTATGGCATTAGGCCATCACTTTAGGATAAGTCTCACTGCTCTTTTGTTGACTAAATCAATTCACAGAATTTAACAATTCTAAGAGAAAGTGTACACTATAGTTGATATATTTATTTGGCTCCTTTTGAATCCATGGTTTCCCAAAAACTTGAGGACTAATCTGGTAGTTATCATTATCCTGTCTTGATTATTAGAAAGCCAGTATTTACTCAAAGGCACATGTATTTCTTCTAAGTTTTTGTCCAATTGAAATATATATTCTTTTTTTTAAAAATATATTTTATTGATTTTGTACAGAGAGGAAGGGAGAGAGATAGTTAGAAACATCGATGAGAGTCATCGATCAGCTGCCTCTTGCACATCCCTACTGGGGATCTGCCCGCAATCAAGGTACATGCCCTTGACCGGAATCAAACCCGGGACCCTTCAGTCCCCAAGCCGACGCTCTATCCATTGAGCCAAACTGGTCCCGGCTGAAATATATATTCTTAAAGAAAAATGTAAGTGTTTAAAAGTTGCTAGCTTTGAAGATTTTAAAAGTAAAATTATAGTTAGGACGAAGGAAGCAATGGTATGAAAGTTCTGTTTTTACTGAGCAGTCTAGTTGACTCATATTTTCATTGTAGAAATTATGAGACTTAAGAGAAGTAAGGAAAAAATCGGTCAGGACAAAAATATTAACCTCTTATTGGAAAACCTAAATGCTGATTTCAGAAGTAAGTTAGGTTTGCAACTTGGAGATTTAATAGGCAAAGCATTTTCCTTTGGCTTTTTTCAAATTGAGCCATTTGGGGAACAGTGACCTTAATTTACAGTAAATAAAATACTTTTCTATAAACATAATAGTAGTAGGGCCGCATTCTTTGTGTCTGAACACCAAGATACTCTCTTTGGCATCTGTAGCTAAAGAAACAGGTTATCAGATTGAATGCATTGGGTGACTGATCCAGAATACCTCCAGTAGGCCTAAGTAATTGAAAATTCAAACTTGTTCATTACTAGGGGATACCTATGAATTTATTTTCCCTAATGCCACTCAAAAAACTTATGGAGCAGTATTTTTCATCAACTTTTTCAAAGGATTGTGTTTTAGATAAAAGAGAGTTCAGAAAAATGAGGAGTTATTTTTGTATTCCTTATAAAGAACAATAAAGGAAAGGCTAATGGAACAGAAATACTACATTCTGGTCCTATTCTCAATTTCCCCCCATCATTAATGGGGATAAAATGGCTTAAAAGTAAACACTGGCATTGATGGAAATGCAATTGGGAATCCAGTGTATAATCAGTTAATTTAAAATATTCCAGTGTGTGTGAATTGAATTTATGGATTTTGGTTTCAGTGTAGGATCGCTGGCTATTTTTTGTCAGTTCCCTGGTCTCTGATCTGAGGCGGATGAAGAGATTCTTCTGTACATTGTGTACAGCTTGATGAAGTGTGCTACCAAGTTTTGTACAACTTGGAATTTGCCCTCTACTCTGGAAGACTGGGTTTGATTTCCTTTAATCTAGTCACCTTTGGCAGACCATCTTAAGCAACTGCTCCTGCCATTTGTGTACCAGAAAACTGATGTCCAAGGGGGGGGAAAAAATGTGTGTGTGTGTGTGTGTATATATATATATACACAAAATTATATATATATAATTTTGATAAATTGAGGCTAATTTGCTCTGCAGCCACTCTCCTCGAGCACAGTTGGATGTTATAATTTCTAATTTAAGATATTTGGAAATGCATTCCAATACTTTAGAGTTAAAAATCTTGCTTTGAATATTTTTATCACTTTTACAGCATGGACAAAATCAAAAGCACAGATACAAAATTTGCCCACTTTAAGAGCAGAAAGTTGTTTCAGTTGTCTTTGCTTTCTTCGTTTTCACCAAAAGCATCAGAGGGCTCCAAAGCCTTTGCTCTATTCGCATTCAGAATAGAATGTCTGACTAGAGAATCTAATTGGGTAATGATTAGATTAGATTTAATTCAACATACATGTGTTGCTGAATTAAAACTTTTTTAAAAATATATATTTAATTGATTTTTTTTTTTTACAGAGAGGAAGGGAGAGGGATAGAGAGCTAGAAACATCGATGAGAGAGAAACATCGATCAGCTGCCTCCTGCACACCCCCCACTGGGGATGTGCTCACAACCAAGGTACATGTTCTTGACCAGAATTGAACCTGGGACCTTTCAATCCGCAGGCTGACACTCTATCCACTGAGCCAAACCAGTTAGGGCTAAAACTTTTAGAAAATCTGTTTTCTAGTCCTGCAGTCCCTGGGAAATAGCCAGCCAACACTCTAACTTTATAATGAATTATTTGTTACAGTTTTAGTCTCTGAAACTAGGTTATTGAATATAACATTGTATGCTGATGAAAAGTCAATGTATGACCAGAATTATAGCAGTTGAGTTATACTCAGTAAAATATACCCATAGCATAGTTCCCTGACCCCATCTTATCTGCAGCATTTTACTGTGTGTGTGTGTGTGTGTGTGTGTGTGTTTATATGTAGCACTGCAGGCACTTTTCTCTGTAATGACTCTTAAGTGTTTTTTATTATTATTAATAAATGTAGTCCTAAGTGCAGTAGTTGCTGTTCTGAATGTGGTGTGTCTTCTGTTAAAAAACAAAATGCCAACAACCATTTCTCTACTCCAGAGCAGCCTCCGGGTGACACTCGGAGAAAAGTAAGTGACTTTCCAGGCTCTTCCACTGTGGCTGCTGCATGGAGATGACTTCCTGTGGAAATTCACGTGTTGTGTTGGCTTATCATTTTATGTTTCTGCTTATCTGTCATTGAGCTTTATGTTAAGTGTAATTCTTTCACTTGTAGAGATTCAGGTTTCACCCTGGAAAGATTTTGATGTAGACTTTGAAAATGGAAAAGAAAAAAAATCTCAGGCACTTTTTGCTTCTCTCCTGGGGATTAAGGTCTCCTCCCCTTCCCAGCCCTCCTCGCCCGCCACCCCTCCAGAAAAGGAGAAAGTTTCAACAATCTGAAAGGTGGTTACCATTTAGTGGCTAGTGGTATTACATTTTCCATCCTTAGTTTATTGTATTAATAATAGATGTTAGTCCACAGAGATGACATTGCTCCTGGTCTAGATTGTAAGACAAGCCCTCAAATCTCCTACCTGAAAAACAAAACCCAAAATTAAAAACTATAAAACAGAAAAATGCATTTTTTATTATTAGCTAAAGCTATAAGACTTGCCCTGCTTCCAAGTCTCCTAGCTTATTTTACCTAAGGAAATAACACCCAGTGCACATGGAGTACTAAGCTGTTTTGACAATGTGAATCGGAGAGTAAGAAGCCTTTTCTAAATAGACTTCCTACTCTTTCTTTAATTAATTTATTTATTTTTTATTGATTCTAGAGAGGAAGGAAGAGGAAGAGGGAGAGAGAAACATCAATCGGCTGCCTCTCACAGGAGTTATACTCACCAAGGGCCAAGCCTGCAATCCAGGCATGTACCATGACCAGGAATCAAACCTGCAACCTTTAGGTGCATGGAACGACATTCCAACCAACTGAGCCACACCAGTCAGGGCGACTTCCTACTCTTTCCAGATGACAGACATGTGCACCTTTGCAAGCAGCCGCAGTCAAGTGAAGGATGATGATGTTGACTAGGAATTTTGAGTAAAGCTTTGGCTGTGCTTACTTAGTTTGCTAGCTAGAGGTAAGCACCTCTCTCATATCCAAATATTTTCCAGTCAGGAGACCAAACATGTTTTCTATAACTCAATTAGGTATTTTTCCAGAAAGCAGGGCCAATTATATATAATATTTATATTTCCACAGCTGCTGATGTTACACCAAAAAGCCATCCCGTGTGAAACCTGTGATTGAATGTGTTCATTTGCTAGCAGTGTTGTCTTTGTGTGCTGTGTTGTATTTTGTTCTGAACTCTTTAAACAAAGTTATGTCATGGTCATTTCTGGATATCAGTAGCTTATGTATTTTTTAAATGTTTCAAAATGAAAAAATTGCTTTTCATGATGGGGGAACTAAGAGTAGGCTTTGCTAGAACCAGTTTCTTTCTCTAGGCAACTTGATATTATGCATTAAACGAATAAACCCATGCTGTGCTGGGGACACAGCGGCCGAGGGACCACAGCAACCACTAGGCTAGTTCATTTCATGCAATTGCAGATTGCCCAAGATCTCACATTCCCAGCATCTACAGAATTTTATTTTCTAAAACGAACACTTTGAGGAGTTTTCTATAGTCAACAAAGATAGTACAAATATTTGTCAAGTTATTAACTATTCACATCAGTAGTGTAATGACTCATTCCCTACCTAGACTCAACAAGTGTGTGTCTTTAGAGTGCAGCCTCGTGTAGCAGTTGTTTTATATGCACTCCTAGCAAGGAAGAGGGACTTGGATAATAAAAAAGTATCTATCGTTTTCCAAAGGGAGTCATTTAAAATGTATGTAATAAATATTTTAATCTCAGGACTCTAGCTGTACTTTGTAGTCTCTTTCAAATTAGAAAAACATTAAGGAGTTTGCCTGGAGATCAGAGAACTCCAAAGTAGCCCTAGATTTGTTCTCATTGGGACCATATTGTTACCTGCTAACATATTCAGTACAGTAGGTCCTCACTTAACATTGTCAATAGCTTCTGCAACTTTAAGAGAAACAACGCATTACCATAGGCTAATTGATGAACACAAGAGTTAGATTCCTACAGCATCTCATCAATGTTATAATGAAACAACACTGAAACAATGTTCTTTGAGGACCTGCTGTACTTTCTCACATGCAGGTACAGATTCTGATCTATAACGTGCCCCTAGTGGACATGTTATATGAGGGCTGGCATTTCCGGCAAAGGTCCTTATATTGAACCCTGTCTCCAGTGGAACTGGCTGGCACCTTTACTCTACTCTCCTTTTCAGCCGGTGGGAATGATGAGATCATGGGCAGAAAACATCCTCAGTTCAAACTTTGTTTAAATGATTTTTTTTTTAAGTGTGTCCCAGCATTGTTGATTTGACTAGCATATGAAATGGGAGCTGACCTGAAGCTCTCCATAGACAATGCCTGCATTGTTGTAGGTGTCAGTGAGCAAGACCAACCAGGTCCATGCTGGTAGAGCCTGTATCCTAGTAGAGAGACAGGCGATAGGTAAATAAACTGCAGTGATTCCTACTATGAAGAAAGGAAAGCAAGATAATGAAGTGACTAGGAGCCTGTTTTGCTTTAGCTGGACAGAGTCTTCAATGAATAAATGACATTTAAGTCAAGACCTCAGTAATGAGCAACCAGCTATGAGATAGGCAGCTGGTGCAAGTTTTCTAAGGCTGAGCAACCGGTGTAATGAGTCAGGGAGGGTGCTTTGGCGTGAGGTCCTAGATGCAGGGAGGGTCCAACACGTGGGCACTCAAAGGCCAGAGGAGGGAGCTGGGTCTGAAAGCAATGCCCTGGATTCATGTTAACTGGAGGTGCTGATTTCATTGAGGAGTAGATTGATACTTGAGAGCACAGGACTTGAGGAGCAAGACTATGAGCAGGCAGTTAGAGGTATAAAGGTAAAAAGATGGGATTCTTCAGGAAAAACTTAGCGTGCAGCTCGTAAATGTTAAATAAATGGGGAATTGTCATTTCAGAGCTCTTGGTTTAAGCTTTTTGCTCAAATCGCTACTCCATTTTTCTCTCTCTTGCCTGTGTGAGGCACACAGTATGTAGTAAAGTAACCCTATCTGTAGATTATTCTGAAGACAAAGTAGTTTCAAGAAGCTACAGTGGCTATTAAATGATCCTAGAATTTGATTTCAGAACATTTGAAAACACAAGCGTAAAAAACAAAATCAAACCAACCTTATCTGTTGATCAAGCTCTGCTTAGGATTCTCTGTTTTATCTGTTCCATCTTGTTTGTTGTGGAGGAGAATGGCCAAAAAGCAGACCGACCCCGAAGAGGAAGGAGAAGAACAGAATCCACATTTATTGAAAACCAAGCAGTGCTAGGCTCTTTACATCTTGTATCTCATTTCATTGTCACAGCAACACTGTGAAGTGGGAATTACTCCACTGATGAGACAGCGGAGATGCCAGGAGAGCAGAGTGACTCACCCAGGGTCACAGAACAGGTGATAGACCTGAGTTCAAGTTCTGCCTCTGGCTGGCCCCTAAGCGCCTATGGTCTTTATGTTACACCATATGTTTTACCTAAAGTAGCCTTTCCAAATTATCTTTCCCAACATTTAAGAGATGTTAGGCACAAAAGGGTTCTGTGGACAAGTACCTCTGGGGAGTGTTAGGCTGAACAAAGTTGAACAAGTTTCCTTACTACAGGACTTACCAGAGCCTTGAATATGTAGGTATGCCTGGTGATTCTCCATTAGAGAATGTGCTGCATTTGCTAACTTACTTGGACGTGTAAACTTTGGGGAAATCCTACACTAAAACAACTCAGTAGAAAAATGGACAAGAGACAGAAAGAAGCACTTTCACCTTAGAGAAACCCACATGGCCAATACATATAAGAAAAGATGTTCACTTCATTAGCAATCAGGGAAATGTAAATCAAACCCACAATGAGACTGGCAAAAATTAAGTCTGAATACAAGTGTTGGGGAGGAAAAGGTGGATCAACAAGAACATGCATGCATTGCTGGTGGGAGTGTATATGTATAACCGTTTTTGGAAAACAATTTGGCCTTATCTCACAGAGTCGATTGTTCATATACTCTGACCCAGCAATTCCACTCCTAGGTATAAGCTTTAGAGGAACTCTTGCATATATGAACAGGAAACACATGAAGATGTTTCTAGTAGCACAGTTCAGAGCAGCAGAACTGAAAAACTACCCCAAAAGCCCATCAACATTGAATGGATAAACCGAGCTATGTCCCCAAGGTGAACATTACATAGCATGGCTGTACCACAGGCTAAATACAACAACATGGATGAATCTTAGGAATGTAGAAATGGATTAAATTAGAATGATAATCTGCTGATCAAGCTCAATTTTGCTTGACTAGGTTCCTCTACAGTCAGTGTAAGTGGTGCAGGAGGCAGAACCCCACTTACTTTCTTTTTTATTGGCAGCATCAACTGTTTTGAAACCAGGTGTACTTGAAACATCAGGGATCCCCAACAAGGAGATTCTGCCATATTAGAACATTCTCAGCTCACATTCTTCTGGTTAGCACTGAGCCAAGGGCCTTTCATAGTTCACCAAGACCTTTTTCTGACTAGAGGTCCGCATACGAAATCTGAGCTGGCCTGAGGCTCTCCATTTCAGTTAGACACACATCCAAAGAAAGAGGATCCAAAAGAAAGGGAATTAAGCAGAAAAATACACAGTTCTTCGGTCATACAAATACATTTAGGTCTGGAAGAAGGAAACTGAGCCTATTAAACAGGGAAGAGCTGTTAGTGTGCCATGTATTTTGCTGGGCGCTTTCCTTCAGTACCTCAAGGGCCATTGGTGTGATGCCCAAATCCTAATGGCTGGGATCCAGCGTCATTTACAGCAGGAATGGGCAGTAATGAGGCACTTTTGCTGCCTGGGATGATAACAGATTTGACAGCTCTATCTCTTGCCCCGGGAACCCAGTGTCTGTTTTCTTGCTTCCCTTGGAAATGTCTGAGGGACTGATTGGTCTGAGGTCTTGGTTTGCTAGAGAGAGGCTCCTTATGGCCACAGTATCCCTGTAGCGAGGTTTTTGGGATCTTATAGTCAGGACCTTAAACATCGGGCCCTACGCAGCAGGAAACCCAAGAGACCCTCCCATCTCTCCATCCCCTTTCTCTTCTGTAAATGTGCCTTTCTCCAGACATCCTTCCCCCAAGTAAGAATTTCATCATGTTCACCATGCTATGTACCTGAAACTAATATAATATTGGATGTCAACGGTAACTGAAAAACACTTAAAATTATTTTTAAAAGAAATTCATAGTTCTTAGCAAATGAGCCAGTTGTTGGAAGGACAAGCAAATCAACAGCTGGCTGTTACTGGCCCTTGTCCCCCACCTACATTTGTGGATAGTGGATACATCAAACACCTGATGTTTTACTTTACATTCCTCATCAGAGTGCTGGCACCAGAGCCAGAATTTCTGCTTGTTTAGATGCCAGTCTCCTCATAGGTCTGAATTACCGCCTCTCTACTCTCCCTCCCCCCAATTTTCTCTTATTAACCAATTTTTCTTTTTCTTTAGACCAATGAGGCAAGCTCAGAGTCGATAGCATCCTTCTCCAAGCAGGAGATCATGAGTAGCTTTCTGCCGGAGGGAGGGTGTTATGAGCTACTCACCATTATAGGTAATGTCCCGGACTGCCAAGACCTTGGAGCTCCAGGGGGCGGGCGCTATGAATGTGTGCCTGAGGCTGTCGGCTACTTAGAGGGCTGTGGTGACAGAACTGGCTTTGTTGGGTCTTCTTGGGTTTTGTTTCTCCAAGTATGGGAAAGGAGATCATGTTCCCAGGAAAGGAGTTCTTATACTTTTTTCTATTTGGCTGAGAAGGTGTCCTGGGCCAGAGCCAGTCAGAACAGTTGGCTGAGAAGGAACTATTAATACTAGGAAAAGAAGCAAGAACTGTCAGTCATGAAAGTAACAGTGGTGCAAGTTTTAGCTTGCATTTTCTTTTGAAATCAAGTTTGTTGAAGGAAGAAGAAACCCTTTGCTGTTGTTGACCTTGCTTATGGCATCCTCTGTTCTTTTAGGCAAAGGATTTGAGGACCTGATGACAGTGAACCTAGCAAGGTACAAACCAACGGGAGAGTATGTGACGGTACGAAGGATTAACCTAGAAGCTTGTTCCAATGAGATGGTGACGTTCTTGCAGGTAAAAAAAAAAAAAAAAAAAATGTGGATGAGACACTTGGAGGTGGGCTCTTTGCTCCAGTAGTATAATAATTACAAGGCATCTCTTACCTCCATCTTCTGAAAGCAGCTGGCAGGAAATGAAGGTAGACCAAGTCGATCAGCTACGGAAGCTCTCAGTGAAGAACCTTGGGCATTTGGCACTAAGGATTCCTTAATGCTGCCCAGCCCAATCTATATTCCCGTCTCTACAAGGACTCCTTCCTGCCTCATTTATTTATTAATCAGAGAGGCTAGGCCACTCTCCTGCTTTTAGCACCCTATTTGCCTAAGGTTCCTTTCTACTGGAGAAGCAAGTAGCTGCCTTCTCATTTTAACTGGAGGGACCAGAGGTCTAATAACTGACCGGGGACTGAATTCTCCTTGGCTGACGAAGGCTTGCCCTGAGACTCCTTCTATTCCGGACCTGGGGCAGTGCATTTTCAGTACAGGGAGTTGCACCCTTTCCCTTCTTTGTATACAATGCTCTTCTGAAACCATGCTCGTCTAATGGTGCTGTAATCCTGGTCCACAGGCTCGGAGCAGTTTAGCGGATCTAAGAATGTGACAGAAAGTCAGTCCTGACTGAGTTATTTGGGAAAAAACAATCATATCTGACTTTGTTCTAGAGCATAATGGACTTCCAGATTCTTATCCTCTAGAGCAGTGGACAGGCAGGAGGTACTGTCTGTTTGGCCTTAGCTCACATCCCACAGGCCAGGACTCTAGATTTCTATAGTCCTCTTGTCCATTTTTTTTTTTTTTTAACATCTTGTCAAAATTTATTTTAAATTTTTGTAGGTCTGACACTTCCTATAGCTGCTTCTAAGGAAGGGATCTCTCAATCTGAGGTTAGCTGGAGAAATAGCTTCCAATGTTTAGTAGTTGTTGTTTGTTCTTTAATGCTTTCTTTCCTTGCCTACAAACTTTTCCTTAATGATAGGGAAACATTTCTTTTTCTTTTTTCTTTTTTTTTTAATATATTTTATTGATTTTTTTACAGAGAGGAAGAGAGAGGGATAGAAAGTTAGAAACATCGATGAGAGAGAATCATCGATTAGCTGCCTCCTGCACACTCCCCAGTGGGGATGTGCCCGCAACCAAGTTACATGCCCCTGACCGGACTCGAACCCTTGACCTTTCAGTCCACAGGTCGACACTCTATCCATTGAGCCAAACCGGTTCCGGCAGGAAACATTTCTCGTTTTTCTATCTTAAAGAGGAATTCTGTGCCCTGGCCCTTGAAGTTGAGCTAAGTTTAGGATTTCAGAAATTTTCAATCAACAGTTTGTTTTCATCGCCTCTGTGGTGGGGAACTGCTATTAGCAGCTTCCCGGTTCTTGGGAATTGTTTCTGGAGGCCCTCTCATTGGCTGGCAGAGCCAAACATAGGCAGAAGCTGGCAGAGAGCAGAGACTGGTTTCTCTCACTCCAGAAGGCACCTGCTTAGGCTCCTGCTGCTCCCAGGACTCTCAGAGGAGCACCCATCTTATTCATGCTGCCACCTTCCTGTTGAGTGTCATTCCTTGTGCTCCTTGATTCTGACTTCAGTTACCATTGGTTTCAGGGGGAGCTTCATGTTTCCAAACTCTTCAGTCATCCCAATATCCTGCCCTATCGAGCCACCTTTATTGCAGACAATGAGCTGTGGGTTGTCACGCCATTCATGGCATATGGTGAGTGGGAAAGGGCTCCCAGCAGGTGGGGGAGTGGTTCTAAGAATCTGTTGCCAGCTGGCTTACATGCTGTATTTTTTCTGTTACCATTCCCTACTTCCCCATAACTCCTTTCTTCAGGTTCTGCAAAGGATCTCATCTGTACTCACTTCATGGATGGCATGAATGAACTGGCCATTGCTTACATCCTGCAGGGGGTGCTCAAGGCTCTTGACTACATCCACCACATGGGATACGTACACAGGTGCATTCTTAGGCCTATTCACCCTTCACAGGAGTGGGTATCTGTGCCCAGGAGCCCTCAAGTAAACACCGGAAGGTTGACTGAAGTTAGAGAGGCCAGACGTGGGATTCTGCCCTTGCCTCTGAGCTGGTGGGCAGAGCATCCAGCATGTCGGTGCTGACTTGCTCTTCACTGAGCAGCTTGGCCCTTAGTACTGAGTGAGAGGAACATCTGAGAGGCTGGGAGAAGACAGAATGCTTAGTAGGTGGTGTCAGGAGAGTGGCTCACCGTAGGGAAAATATTAAAACGGGATCCTTACCTAACCCCCCATACAAAGGAGCCCTGCAGACGGATTAAAGACCTTTTGTCTATGTGAAACTACAGACTTAGAAGGAAATGAATGTAAGGAAATATTTAGAACTTCTAAATGTTTTAGAAGCATAAAAAAATTGGTGAGTTTAAGATTAAGGATTTCTCTCCAATAAAGGACACCTTAAACACGAAGTTAGGCCCTTTTCGGTAAGTAGACCTGTTCTCTGGGTGACAGCATGGGAGATGTTAGCTTTGTCTAAAGCAGGAGGTTAGTAGCAAGGCAATCTTGTGAATCACCAAGAAAAGGATAGGAAAACAATAGAAAACTGACTGAAGGATATGAGGTTTATAAAAGAGGAAGCCTAAAGGCTAAGAGCCATATGAGCAATAATCATAAAAGCAAAACAGGAGGATGTGAGTTTACATACCAGGCCCTGGCACATTGGGGGGCTGGGGCAGGCCCAGTGCAGTGAGGCCCAGAGGGTTCGCCTGTCTGTACAGTGGATGACGACGGCCCGACACAGCCGGTCAGGGTCACTGGGAACCAGAACCATCGGTGCTGCCTCGTGTGCACTCCAAAGAAACCTCACGCAGGCCCATCCGGGACCTGTATGCAACATCACTTCCTCTTCACGGAGAGAGACAGTGGGGGTGTCCCTTGCTGGAAGAAGGGATGAGTAAAAGTGTCGGACCCACCCCAGAGGGCAGCATGAATGGGTCTCAAATGCAGCACTGAGAGGAAAAGGAAGAATGGGGTGCATATCACAGTAGCATTAGGGAAATTGAACATATATGCAAACAAAACCATGATACACTTTACAAGAACAAACAAAACGTACAGGTCAGTAGTAGCAGGTGGTGGGGGAGCAGTGATCTGTGAGCATAAAAGAACTTTAACAAAAATTTGGTGACATGTAAGTGGGGTCATGCTTATTTTTTCTTTTGGGGGAATGTTTGAAACTTCTCACAACAGTGTGTATTTGTGTATAAAACATGTATATGCACAAATAATACACACACACGCTGCCGGGGACAGAGCTGACAGGATCAGTGTGTAAAGACCAAAGGTCTGCAGTGTGCGGGGCTCCTGCTGTCCGGTGACACCTCCTCGCACCACCTGCCCCCTCACCCCCACAGGAGTGTCAAAGCCAGCCACATTCTGATCTCCATGGACGGGAAGGTCTACCTGTCTGGGTTACGCAGCAACCTCAGCATGATCAGCCACGGGCAGCGGCAGCGGGTGGTCCACGATTTTCCCAAGTACAGTATCAAGGTTCTGCCTTGGCTCAGCCCGGAGGTCCTCCAGCAGGTCTGTACGGGCCCCCAGGAGCCCGGGAGGGTGCTCTCTGCCTCCGGGTGCAGGAAGGGCTCCTGGAGGGAGGCTTTCCTGCCGGCAGGTGGACCCAGAAGGCCCCTCGCATGGCAGTGAGGGAGTGCTAGTAGGTACCCCGCTGTTTCCACTCCCTTCAGAGACCTCCGCATCTTGTGGGAAGTGAGCATTTGGTGCTCTCTTCATCCCTGAACTAAGCTGGAGCCTGGGGTTCACACTTCCTGCTGCTTATTTCAAACAGCCCTTCCTTCTCAACTAGCAGCTGCTCTTTATGGTGTAAGCAAGGAGAGTCTCCGCAGCTGGCCCTGGTTTGGGGAGAAACATTCTTTCCCTCTCAGGGATAGCTCCGCCCCGTTCTTCCTCTAAGAATAACGGCCACGGCTACACACCGAGTGATATGTGGCTTTTCCCTCCTGACCTAGAATCTGCAGGGTTATGATGCCAAGTCTGACATCTACAGCGTGGGAATCACAGCTTGTGAGCTGGCCAACGGCCACGTCCCCTTTAAGGATATGCCTGCCACCCAGGTGAGCCTGCACCCAGTGCTTTTCTTGCCTGCCTGCCTTCCACAGATGCTTGTTGATTACCCACCGCAGTGAGGATCCGGTGAAAGTCAGGCTTTCCTTCTAAAGCCCCGCCCAGGGGGATGGTTGTGTAACGGTTTGCTTCTGTGTGGTAACTGCTGTGTAAATGGAGAGCAGGGGAGGGGAGCTCCGGGGCAGGCCACTGCTAACAGCTGCAGGGCCTGGAACGGGTGCCTTTAAAATGTGAAAGTCCAGCTCACACGTCTGTAAATGTGTAAAATACGTTGTCCTCC